AACAGCAGCCTGTATCCAGGCTTTATTGGAGAAATGACCTCTTAGCTCACTACATCCTGGTTTGGGTAACTGACATTTATTTTCACTTTGATATCTGAACTACAGAGCCTACCAGTGGGATTCTTGCTGGGACGGATGCCAAGCCAGTTCTGGCAGAGGCCACTGGAAGGCATCGTGTTTAGCCAGAAATCCCAGGAGCTGGTGAATCTTTGCAGCAATCCTATGTCAAAATGAGGTAGATATGAGAAACCTTTTATTTTGGGGAGGTGGGAGTAAATGTGGGTATTCAAAAAATTCCAAAGAGAAACAAGTGTTCGTTTTTTTCCACTTCTTCCCCTGAAGATTGTCCACAGCTCTCCCACAACATGTGTAGTACTCTGGCATTTCAGAATTGATGGACTCCAGATGGAATCACAGTTTGGACTTACTGGCTATGGCTAGTCTGCCCTTGACCTCACACATTTCTCTAGCCCTCTGTTTATTAAGAGGAAACCATAGGATAGTGTTAGCTATCAACCAAGCCCGCTGGCCGGAAAAACCCTTAAACATTAACTTCAAAGACAAAATTATTTGAAAAACACAATATAAACAGGAAAAAAAGGGGGAGTGAGTGATTAGAAGCCGCTAGCAATTAGGCACTAATGAGGTTTGTTCTGTGGTGTAGCTGCCCAGTGGCACCGCTTGTATCTCTTTCAAACGCATAGCCGTTCCTCAGGCTAGCGTGTCTTGGTGAAGCCAAACCACAATTTGCAGACTAACTTATTATGAAGATACTCCACAAATATATCCAGATCTAAGCGATTAACTGAATTCTTCAAATTCGTTTGTAGTGAAAACCTGGTTAAGTGGAAAACTGACACCCTATCTGTTTGGCTCATCAGTGTATCGCTGTAAGTTAGCACAGAGCCTGGAACATAATAATTGTGCAATAAAGCACATTGTTGAATTAATTTATTTTTGTTAATACCCATGACATCTATTTCAGACATCGTGCAAATGAATTTATTTTTTATCTTATTGAGTGGGGCATATTTACACAAAGTAAATTATTTAAACTACCAATTATAAAATAAATAAGTCATAGGGATATAATGTACAGCACAGGGAATTTAGTTAGTAATATAACAATTGTGTGTGGTGCCTAGCTATAAAAATAATCATGTTATACACCTGAAATTAATATAATATTGTAAGTCAATTATACTTCAGTAAAATTAAAAAAAAAAGCAGGCTTTAAAGAGTAAGGCAGTCATTAAATATTTCTATGATGATCCTTTTGTTGATGATTAATTCTTACTCTGAAGTAGTATAGATGTAAAACATGTAATTGATTAGACCAGCCTTAACAGCATCCTAGTTACCCCAGAGAATTCTTGTATCCTTTTAGATAATAACTTTCTGATTTAACATTTCATTTTTAAAGGTTTCTTTTTCTGCCACAGAAGTATAATGCACTTATACTTCTGCCACAGAAGTATAATGCCCTTATAGAATATAATATGCACTTTGAATAATGGATATTTTCTGTTAAGTTGAGCTGTTGTGAATCCATGGGCATGAGGCAGATGATCAATATAGCAGGATCTTTAGAGGTTGGCAGGCATTACAATTTCCAGAACCAAGTTACAGTTTAGGAATGACCTGTGTTTCCTCAATGGTTTTAGGTCTCTGTTATTTACAAGTCACTGGACAATGTGAAAGGGATGTTAAATATTGTGGAGTATACTGGAATGTGGAATAATATGAACGACATGGCCTCAACCTCAGCAAAATTTATAAAAAATTTATTAAAAAGGGAAAGAACAATTCAAACAAAGCAGGCTGCTGTCAGGACAAGTTTGGTTCTCAACCTGTGTTCACTGTATTAGTTCAGTTCAGTCACTCAGTCATGTCTGACTCCTTGCGACCCCATGAATCACAGCCACCAGGCCTCCCTGTCCATCACCAACTCCTGGAGTTTACCGAAACCCATGTCTATTGAGTCGGTGATACCATCCAGCCATCTCATCCTCTGTCACCCCCTTCTCCTCCTGCCCCCAATCCCTCCCAGCATCAGGGTCTTTTCCAATGAGTCAACTCTTCGCATGAGGTGGCCAAAGTATTGGAGTTTCAGCTTCAGCATCCGTCCTTCCAATGAACACCCAGGACTGATCTCCTTTAGGATAAGGCAAAAGGCTCTGTCTGGAGACCTTACGTGAAAACAGGTTTATATTGAAGTTCCAGACAAATAGGTGGAAGCTAGTGGTCAGCTAGTTGGAGCAGGGGGCCCCATGGTAACCAGTGGAGACACTGAAATATTTGGATGAGATTCATTTTACTCTCAAAATCCATTTACCTGTCGTGCTTTCATTGCTTTTGGTGTTTCTCCTGCACTGATGGGGCCAGATCCCTGAAGGAGAGTACCCTAAGAGCTCCTTTCCAGCCAGAGCCTGGAGGAGAAGCCTGAGGCCAGTGTCATCGAGGCTTCAAGGGTACCAGCATACGTGTGTGGTCCCAGTTCCGCCTTGGCCGTGGAGCCCTTGTCGTGGCTGACTGCACACTGCTACAGCTGCTACTGCTGTTGTGCTGTGCAGCTGAGCTGCGTGGGCCGAGTTCTAAGCCAGGGTCACCTTTATACTGCCTGCTCTGCTCCACGGTCATCACTGTGGCCATGGTCGCCTGCCTGCCTGCTAGGTCTGCATGGTCAGGTAGTAGAGAATGTGAGCATTAGCAGGTGATTCATCCAGTCCTTCAAGTATGTATATTCAAGTCTCTGTGTGTGTGTGTATTCAAGTGTATATAATGTATTTACTCAAGTATATATATATATATATATGTCTGTGTATATATATATTCAAGTGTATATAATATATATTCAAGTATATATTCCCATTCACTTTGAGATAAAGAGCCACCAGAAGCCGGAGGCGGGCCACTTCTGTGTCATTGTTTCTAATCCCTAGAGCATCCTGGGCACAGTGGGTCTCAAGGAGGACCTTCCCAAGCAGGAGCTGCTCTTCACAGGGCACATGGGCCTGACCCTGTACCTTGGGGCATCTTCATTGCTGATGCAGATAATCAGTACACAGTCTATAATAGGAAAAGAAGAGAGTTTTATTCAAGTCAAACTGAGGACCGTCTTCTTGGAGACACAGATTCAAGAAACACTTGAATTGTGTTCTGCCTGACTACAAAATGAGGGAGGCTTATATAGGCAAAAACCACAGTGTTGCATAAGTTGTTTGTCAAAATTAGGATTGGAACTGGCAAGAAGTAAGGATGTTTGTTAAGCAAGGATTGTTTGGGGAGTGAGATGGTTGCATAGTTACAAGGGGAGACCTTGAAACCATAAGGGTGCAGCTGGCAACCGCTAGTAGATGTTTTGAGAACAGCTGTTGGTGTCCTTGAGTCTGATGCAGTTCAGAAGATTCAGGTTCTTGGTGATGCAGGAGCTTGTCTGAAACCACATCCACAGTGGCCACCTGTCTCCGTTTTGAATGCTTGAACCACAGTTACTCCATTTTGATTTTCTTTAATGGTTAAAGCAGATGTACAATGTGTGTTTGATAATCCATCGACAGGCTGTTCTCACTAGCATAAAGTTCAGATCATGTATGAGCCAGAATGACTTCGCCATCCCTCAGTATGTGAACATTGCTTCTGTCATCATCCGGCAGTGCTCCAGGACCTGATGGCCCACATGGTCCAGTGCGTGGTTAGGGAGCACCTCAAAGTGGGGTGCTGCTCCACCTGTACTCGGGATGACAGTAGGGACCTGCTGCCATTTGAGAAAGGGGGCGTCTACCAGAATGACTTCGCCATCCCTCAGTATGTGAACATTGCTTCTGTCATCATCCAGCAGTGCTCCAGGACCTGATGGCCCACGTGGTCCAGTGCGTGGTTAGGGAGCACCTCAAAGTGGGGTGCTGCTCCACCTGTACTCGGGATGACAGTAGGGACCTGCTGCCATTTGAGAAAGGGGGCGTCTACCAGAATGACTTCGCCATCCCTCAGTATGTGAACATTGCTTCTGTCATCATCCGGCAGTGCTCCAGGACCTGATGGCCCATGTGGTCCAGTGCGTGGTTAGGGAGCACCTCAAAGTGGGGTGCTGCTCCACCTGTACTCGGGATGACAATAGGGACCTGCTGCCATTCGAGAAAGGGGGCGTCCGTTTGCCCCTTCCCTCCGTGTTGGACCCCACCTTCTCCTACAACTGCAAGAGGAAACTCTTGGCCTCGGGAACCATTAAGGTAGAGGTGCTAAACGCCACCCCTACCAGCAGCCTCCCTGAGGCTGATGTCGCCAAGGTCATGGACACCTACCGCCAGGCCATGAGGACCGCCTGGCTAGAGAATGGACAGAGGAATCACCCCCCCCCCCCCCGGACCTCATATCACTGGCATAATCCTGCTGCTCTCCTCCTTGCATTCAGGGGGCAGGAAAGTGGAGGCCTCTTCCTGTCATTGACCTCAGATCCAGAGTCCTGATGTGCCCTCAAAGGAGAGTGTGCCAGGCCTTGCCAAGCTCTGAAGGCAAGGCCTTGCCCACCCTCATGCCTCCAAGATCTGGGAGTAGGAGCAGGCCTACCGTTCCGTGGGCTGACAGGGCTGGGCCGAGCTACACGACCTTGGGGTGAATGACCGGAGATGAGGCTCTCAGCAGTCCTCCCCAGGTCTGTGGGGTAGAGTCAAGCTTTGGAGTCCCAGCCCCAGCCTGCATCAGTCTTTCATGGAGAGGAGGGCCTCTGGGGGAGTGAGGAAAGCAGACCCTGTTCTCATACAACTTGGGCTGCTGAAAGCTGGAAAACAGGGTCTGCATTCTTTACCTGCCTTGGGGAGCATGTCTACTGAGTAACTGCAGTTCTTTTGTTACTGTTTATAAATAAGCTCTTGGAATTGCAGAATAAATAAATATTTACAAAAGAAAGGTGTGGTAGTGATAAGTCTGCAAATTTGCTAATAGAGGAAGCTCCTGACATCATTGGCATTTCACCCTGTATGTTTTCTTTTTATCTGCAGAACCACCCAAAGTCACTGTGATGCCCAAGAATCAGTCCTTCACAGGTGGATCTGAGGTCTCCATCATGTGTTCTGCAACAGGTTATCCCAAACCAAAGATCGCCTGGACCTTGAATGATATGTTTATCATGGGTTCACACAGGTACTGGGTTTGTATCATGTTCTTTGTTTTTACTGAGTAAGAGGAGTTGATGAAATTTCTGGTCAGAACTAATCTGACCAAATCTCTGTGGTTAAAGGAGGTTTGACCCAAATCCACAGCTTCAGATTTTCTCAATAGGCCAGGACATGTCTATAAAATAATAAATGATGGATGTTTGGAGTTTGAGGTTCTTGAGTGTTGAATTCAACAGCTGGAACGGAGTTTCCTCAGTTTGCTTTGTAAACAGAACACTGTGACAGTTGATTCACCATGAATAATTGTGTGCTAAGTCACTTCAGTTGTGTCTGACTCTCTGTGACCCTATGGATTGTAGCCTGCCAGGATCCTCTGCCCATGGGATTCTTTAGGCAGGAATACTGGAGTGGTTTGCCATGCCCTTCCTCCAGGGGATCTGCCTGACCCAGAAATTGAACCAACATCTCTTATGATTCCTGTATTGGCAGGCATGTTCTTTACCACTAGCACCACCTGGGAAGTCCATGAATAATTGAAATGGGGATAATAAACTTTCTGTGGGTAAATTGATGTGCATTTAACCCATGCACTAAAGGCTTGGTCCTGGGATTTGACAGAAGAGAGAGGCAGAAGCAAAGGATGGGACAGTAGCTCTAATTAAAGTGTGTGCAGACTTTCTTCATAACTCATGTTCACCGTTGCCACTCATACTGCATTTCTCATTGTAGTATGTTATTCTGCTGGATGCTTTTAAAAGAAAATGAAACCTCTCATGCTCAAAGAAAGTACTGAACACGTGGGACATAAACAGTAAAGTTTCCAGCCATCAGGCTCCCATTACTCTGGGTTTGGCATGAGGAGACAAGCTTAGCTGTGAGCCAGATTCTATTCCTGGTCTCTTCAGGGACTCGTTTGAGACGTGAGGCATTGCATCTCTCAGGTTTTCATTTTGAGCAACTGTTTAGCTTAGAAGTTCATACAGAGCAAGATTGCCTGGGTGCAAACTTCGCTTCTCCCCTTTGCTGATGCTGACTTGGGGCAAGTTGTATAACCTCTTTGCTCATCTGTATAACAGACGGAATAGTAGTATCTAACTCATTGGATTGTTAGGAACATTTAAAACATGAATAAATGTAAAGCTGCTAGGTCAGCCTTGGCACATGGCAAGTATTAGATATGTGGAACCTATTGTTGTTATTATTCTGGAGAAGGAAATTGCAGCCCACTCCAGTATTCTTGTCTGGAGAATCGCATGGAGAGAGGAGCCTGGCCGGGCTACAGTCCATTGGGTTGCAAAGAGTCAGACACAGCTGACCCAACTTAACACACACGCATATATTGTTATTTTTACAATGTTTCATCTTATATCCTGTTGCTATTAATCATTTTTGCAATCAGTACCAAAAGCATAACTCTAAAGTATTTGAAGATATTTGAAGGAAGTTGCTATAGTTCCTTGATCCTGTTATTTTCAATTTTATTTTCTTTTTGTCTTTAGGTATAGAATGACCTCAGAAGGTAACTTACTTATCAAAAATGCAGTTCCCAAAGATGCAGGTATCTATGGTTGCCTGGCAAGTAATTCAGCTGGAATGGATAAACAGACTTCTACCCTCAGATACATTGGCAAGTATAATCAGTTTAAAAGCCAGTTCAAATAGGATGAATATCATATCAAGCCATGTAAGAGTGCTTTTTTAAAAATTAATATTAGGAATGAGTCATATTCAGTTGTATAATTTTTTATTTGTCTCACACACTGATTAAAGCAAATATTTTAACTAATTTAAGTTAAAAGTTCAGGGAATGAATTGCTTCATTAGTCAACAGAAATCAAGGAAGGCTCCAGATTATAGAAGAGTTCCTGATTGTCCATAGAGTTCTGTCCTTCTGTGGTTGATCTGTTCTTTGTAATATTTTACTTATAAATCAACAGATTCTGTATTTTTCCTAGTTTACTTCAACTTTTGTTTTACATTTTCCACATATGTCCATATATGTTTAAATTTATATATTCATACATAAATGCATATATATGAAATTGTTTATAACATTTATATTATAATTAAATATTTATAACATTTCTGTCACTTATCTAGATATTATTTTTGCTTTTCATCTTCAGTTTTTCCCCTCTAAACTCAAATATTTATTGAAGATAAATATTTTATTTTTCTTATAATAATAATAAATAATATCATGACAACTATTCTATAATATCACATAATATAGTAGGCTATAATACATTCTAACATGTATAATATAATCTAATCTATTATAATACATAATCATATATTTCTAATAATAGGTAATATATAATAGAATATTTCTTTAAATTTGACATTTCTTAAAGAAAGGACATGGACATTACATACTCAGTCTCAGTTTGTAAATTGTAAATAATTAGTGACTAGCAATTTACTCTTTCTCTCATTTTTATTTACCATAATTCGTAGTAAAGTAGTGAACTTGGTAGTGGAGAGGAAGGAGTATAGAAGAGTCATAATAAAGACTGAGAATTATAGATGGTATGTATAGATGAGGGAGGGAGGCAACAAAAATGTCACAAACACTCAACCTAAAAGCCTGGGAAGAGCGATCTCATTTATAGAAATTAGAAAGGCATGTGGTAAATAAGTTTTTGAAGGGAAAATGGGCTTAAATTTAGAGATGATAGTGAAAATCAATCACAGAATACCTATGTGGAGAGAGACCAGACAGTTGGGAATGGGATTTGCATTGCAGAAATGAATTTTGGTTCACTCACAAAGAAACCAAAATATTCCACCTATTTATTTATTTATTCCACCCATTTATTTAACTTATTAAGTATGTAAAGTATGTAAAATGCTATGCTAGAGACTGTGGAATGTAAATTTTTTTTTTAAAAAGTACATTATGAGGCCCTTACTTTTCAAGAGTGTGAAAAATGAAAGATATACATAAAGAAATATAATAAGGAAGACACATAAGAACTAATGTGGAAGGCTGGCAGAGGGAAGATTAATAATTCCAGATGGGGACTTTGCAAGCATTTCTCAAAGGAGACAGGATTTAAGCTCAGTCTGGAAGAATGAGTGGGGTTTAAAGAGTTATAACAAAGGGCGTCAGGCAGGAAACAACTTTAGCAAAAGCAGGAAAATGGGAGAGAATAGGGCATGTTTTGAAACAATTGTAGCTCCATACCTGTGGCAAGTCAGGAAGTGTGAAAGGGGTGAAATTCAAGAAAAAGCCATGCACCAATGTGAGTTTTTCGAAAGCCAGACTAGGAAATTATGAAATGCAGTCACTGAATTTTTCTAACCAGGTAGTAACATGATCTTTGAGAAGTTAACTCTTGACTTTGTTTAAAACTACCTCAGTTGAAGTTGGAAAGATCTAAAATGTTTAGTTCATTTAAAAGAACGGGTGCATAAACTGAAGCATTAGGCAGAGGGGTGAATCAAACAGAGCTAAGGAAAGAAACTTAGAGAATGTCTGTATTTAACATCAAAGGGGGAAATAGAGTCAAAAGTGGGAGACTGCCTTTGATAGGTGTGAAGTTTAGCCTTAAGTAAGTAAGTGTTAGTCACTCAGTCATGTCCTGCTCTCTTTGATGCCATAGACTGTAGCTCCCCAAGCTCTTCTGTCCATGGAATTCTCTAGGCAAGAATACTGGAGTGGGTTGCCATTTCCTTTTCCAGGGGACCTTACTGACCCAGGGATTGAACCTAGGTCTCCTGCATTGAGGGCAGATATTTTACTGTCTGAGCTACAGGGAGGAACCCAAAAAAAGTTTAACCTTAGAGAGCAACTATCTCTGTAGATAGACCTGAATATACTTAAAGTCACAGAAAATGTGCATCAATTAATTGAAATATATGTCAGTTGTGCACATTTCAAAATGTGTATCTTGGAGAAAATGTGCATCAAATAATATCCTAAACTTTTGGACTCTGTTTTAGCAGACTCATTTTCATCTGATATTCTTTTGGTTTTTATAGATGATCTTTTCATCACACACATCTATGTGCATATACATTAGAAGAGTTTATTTCTATTTATAAAAACTGAGATAGCCACAAGCACATAAATAATGATCATTTTTTTAATTGCTTCATTTAGTAAACATAAACAAGTTACACGTGGCATTGTGCTAGACTTTAACTGTTTGCGTGTTTGTTGTTTTCAGAAGCCCCGAAGTTGATTGTAGTTCAGAGTGAGCTCTTGGTTGCCCTGGGGGATACAACAGTTATGGAATGTAAAACCTCTGGTATTCCTTCACCTCAAGTTAAATGGTTCAAAGGTACATTTCTTAAGTATGTTCATGTCTGATTCACTTAGTATTGCTTTCTCTTTTAGATAAAAATAATTTGTTAAAAATTTGTTTTGGTGTATGACTTAGCAGCCCCATAAAATGTGTTTATGGTCTCACTAGAGACAGCAGTGCAACATGCCGCACTCTGAATTTCAGCATTTGACATCTGGTGTGGATTATAGAACTGTGAAAATCAAAGCAGGAAAACTTCTCTTCTGCTAATCCAGCTGAACATTCTCTTTGTTAGTTTAGGATTGTTTCCTGTAGAAAATTGTCCAGGAATACTCAGTTCATGTTTAAAATAGCTTCTCTGATTTCAGTTCACTTTGCTTAGGCTCTCACCATTAGGAAGTTGCCTAGATTCTGCAGGATACTTTTCTATAAAGTGCTCAAAGAAAGACTCGTATTAAGCTTACAATTGAATAACATTTGTGATTTTAAGACAAATGTATTTTGTGGTCAGCTTTATCATGCGTGGTAGACGTTTGTGTCAAGTATAGAAATTATCTGCCCCTATTTGTAACATAAAGGTTCTGCCTTTGTGATTCTGTAATAAAATAATAATAATGTGCTGCTTGTCCTTAGTGAAAGTGCCCTTGGGCCCTGATCCAGGCACAGATGCTGACAGTGGCTATCTCTGCAGAATGTCCTGCTCCTGTTTCTCTCAGTTTTTCCAGTCTATGAGAAAGAAAAATCCCCACAAACACCCTGAGAGGGGAGGTTGCTAGGATTGTTGAGATGCTGTTTGCAAAATACTCTTTAATCTTCAGATGAAAAATGCTAAATAGTACAAAGCACTATTGTTATGATTCTGTTTGTTAAATCACAGAAATTCCCATAGCAACAGGTTGATGTCATAATCACAAAATTGTGAATTCACCTCGGGTTCAAACTCTTGGGGAACATGAGGTGAAAAATAGCATGAAACTTTATGCAGAAAACAAATACTTTCAATAATATAAATCAGGGACAGGTAGGGAAACAAGGAGATGATGTCATTTTTCATAGTTTTCCTTCTTAAATATTTTTAAGTCTTGTGTTTTTTCTGATAAGAAAGCATTTGTGAATTTGCTTCTTAATTAGGTTTCAGTTCTGTTTCAGTCAACAGAAATGAATTTTCCTCATTTGAAACGCTTAAATCTTTAACTTTCAAATGAAACAGATAATAGTTTCAAACTCACATCTTAAAGAAATCCAGAAAAAATGTGTTCTAGAGGTAGTTCTTTTTTTAAATTGTCAATCAGTAGTTTATATTAAAACTAAAAATGTTTTAAAAACTAATAGAACCTGCTGATTTTTCTGCCTGTGTAGAGCTGAGTCACAGAAAGAGTCTATTATGCTCTTAAGTTGGGGCTACTCTCCTGAATAACTTTGTATATCAGTTTTGGTCCCAGAGATACCTTAGGATCTAAATGAGGAGTTAGGGAACCATGCAGCCACCACATGGAAGATTCTAAAATTAACTATGCATTTGTTTCTCTTCTCGACCAGAGACATTGGAGTTTAATGGGCCAAGCAAATCCTCTCTCATTTCTCTGTTCAAGTTATGCACCAGCAGAGCTCACATGTGGGCATTAAACAGTGACAGATGGTTATGGAGGACCTGCATTTTGTTCAACAGCAACACGCAGAGGTGCCCTGAACCCCAGGATCACTGGGTCTCCCAGTCACAGGCAGGCAATTTATTCCTTAGGCAGAGTCTGAGTCATAAAGAGAAAAGCCAGGAGACAAGCTCTTTTACTTGCAAACTGGCTTGAAAAAAGAAAGGGGTGGGGGCAGCTGGACCTTCCTTGTCCACCTCTGCTGGGATGAGACACCAGCAAAATTAGGAAAATCCTACATTGGGGAAACTACAGGGTGAAAGACTAGTTCTTTCCCTAACCATAAGAATAACCTTTTGATCATGCCTTTTTTTTTCCAGGCAGTTCTGATTGAATAAAGTTAACAGTTTGTTTTTTAAATAGACGGCATAGCATTGTTAACTCCATGCACCGCTATAGAGCAGATCTCTAGAACTCATTCATCTTGTGGGACTGAAACTTTAAACCTGTTGAACAACAACTTCCCATTTCCCCTGCCCTGCAGCCTTTGGCAGCCACCATTCTTTAATAAGTGGTATTTCATTCAGACCATTCGAGAAAAGGAATCTCACACATACAAATGCCCACCAAAATTTTAGATATTGGAAATGATGTGGATTCCAAGAAAGAATCAAGGACACTATTAAAATATTGTATGAAGAGTATTTCTGGCAAAATAGTAAAGAAATTGGGTTTCTTTAGATTGGTGGTTATGAAAGTATAGTTGGGAATCCCTGGAGGTTCCCACCAACTCTTTTCAGGTGCATGAGATCAAAATTATTTTCCTGATGATACTAAGTTGTTATTTGACTTTTTTGCACTCATTGTCTTATGAATGATTCGTGAAGTTTTAGGAGCTATGTAATGTGTGATAGCCAGTAGAGTGAATGCAGGAGCAAAACAGAACACTCACCTGTCTTCTTTTAAGCTAGATAGTCTAGAGATTTGCAAAAATATGAAACAATGCAACTTTTCTCACTAAATTTCTCTAGTTCGGGGACATACTATTTTTTATAAGATAGATTTATGTTAAAATGTCATGAGGTACTAGAAAATAAGTGCATATGCTTTTAAACTTTTCAGTTCCCTTTCTAAAATGCTAAGTGCAAATAAATATAATCCACATACACAAAAATTCATTAAAGTCCCTGATAACTTTTAAGAGTGTAAAAAGAGTCTTGAGACAAACATTGTGAGAACCAGTAAAGAGCTCTCAGCAGTTTACAGGGTCTTATATAATGGATGGTCATCTATTAGTCTTTATGGCAGAGATGCCAGGATCTAATTTAAACTAAAGCAGAAAGTATCCTCCTTCTTGGTAATGATTGTGTTAAATCCTAGAAGGCCGGCAAAGTTTATAAACTATAATGTGTGTAAATATTCTTCTAATCTTATCTAGTATTAAAACTAAAGAGTTACTCCCCCAATCATCTTCATCTTAATGTTCTGTATTTCTTTATGACTTTATAGCAATACTTTGATTGTTAATTGTTCAGCAGAAATCAAGAGAGATTATCAAAATATGATCAGTATGTAAACTTGATATAAGCAGTGTTTTCCAATTTATATTTTGTTTCATTACTGCTGTTCTTTAAATACTTTTATTTTTTTAAAAAGATGCTAGCATAAAGGTCTTTATTTTATCCTGTTATGTCCTCTGACGTATACAGAAAAGGCTAAGGGAGAAGTAAAATGCAAAGCTCTAAATGCATTTTAGTCCAAACGTTTTAATGCTTGATGAACAGCTTGGTCACATTGCATCCTCCCCTAGTTGGAGGAAGGTTTATGTCAATATCATCTGCTTTTACTTATGAAAATTTCCCAGAGGCACACAGACAAGGCTTTAGCTGCTTCTCTCCTTCTCGTGTGGTATGCAGTAGCCAGCTTAAAAGGATGATTGAGGTTTTAAATGTTGGAATGCTGAAAAATACTTTATTTTTGGCACTCACAGTTGCTAATGTAATTTTTTTTTGTTTTGAGATTTATGGCTTCTTTGACCTCATCTCCTCCTCAAATTATAAAAACAAAATCAGAATTTGTTTGTCACCCTCAGTCTGTTGGTTGTTGCTTTGTATAGTGGCCTGGAGAATTACTGGCTGTAGGGTTTTAGCCTGTTAAAAGTTAAGGGACACAGATTAGAATACAAGCTTATGGTTACCAAGGGGGAAACAGAGGGATGACATAAAGGGAGATTAGGATTGACATATATGTACTATTATTAATACACATGTATATTAATAAAATAGATAATTAATAACCTGCTGTATAGCACAGGGAGCCCTTCTCAATACTCTGTAATGACCTGTGTGGGAAAAGAATTTGAAAAAGAGTGGCTGTGTGTGTATGTGTACCTGATTCACTTTGCTGTATTGCGGAAACTAACACAACATTGTAAATCAGTTGTACTCCAATAAAAATTAGTTTAAAAAGCTATTTAAGGGAGTTACTTCTGCAGTCCCCAGTCGCAGGACACGTGGCTAAGCCAGTAAATGGCATTTTGGAGAGTACTTCTTCAGACTTGACATCTGGCATGCTGTGAAACCCTAAGAGCAATGACCTTTACACCTCCTGGAAATTTTTAGGATCCCCACAAAAAGTTTAACACCGCCCTTTACAGAAAGAAGCAGAAGAGATAAGAACACTAAGCTGCCATTTAAACATCAGTAAGTAAGTGTTTATCGCTTAGTTGTGCCCAGCTCTTTGCGATCCCACGGATTGTAGCCTGTCAGGCTCCTCTGTCCCCGGAATTCTCCAGGCAAGAATGCTGGAGTGAGTTGCTGTTCCCTTCTCCAGATCTTCCTGAGCCGGGGATTGAACCCAGGTCTCCAGTACTAGGTTGTTTTTTTTTTTTTTAATGATACTTGTCATCCTGGTTAATTTCATTCTTAGGTAAGGAGAAACTCTGGAGGAAAGGAAGCCTAAGGATAGGCTAACTCAACTTACAGATTTGTTGAAGCATTGCCTGCTCTCAAATAGAAGTGGTTCTTAGAGGATCTCAGGTGTTACAGGGAGAGGCAATCCAGACATAAGTCATCTTTCTTGGGTTATTCTACCCTCACACTGAGGTCAAACTCATTATCTGGTTCCATCCTCCATTCATTTATTCCCTACCTGCTTCTTCCCAAAACCCTATAACTCTGACTTAAAGAACTTTGATGTATAATACAGATTTAGTAGAGGTATCCTGGGAGATTAATATAACAGCACTCCTCTCTGGCCATTTCCAGGAGTTCTTCATCCATTCTTTTTCTTTCCTTCCTACCCTCTCTAGCCAGCTGTGGTTCCTTAGCCGTTCGTAGAATCCCCTCAGGCAGCTTAAACCTCTCACAGGACAAAATCTGACTGAGAACATTAAGCAAACCAGAAACCTTGGCATTTAGCCAAACTAAGAACACCCATAGTCTCCAAAGTATTTCCTGGATAATTGAAATTCATCCTGTTACAAAGATGGTAGAAGTTTTGTTTCGATCTTCATCTTCCTTTTCCATTTTCACAGCCGCGGTGATAGCTTCCACTCTTTCTTAATCTCCCAGCATAGCTTCAGTTTGTTCTCATTTAGGCACACATACAGTAGGGAATATTTGCACATAATTCATTTCGGGCCTGATTTTTGGTTATAGGTTAGCCTGTAGAATTATATAGGCCTAAATCAGCTCATTACCAAGAAACATTTCCTTCTTTCATTGCATAAGCATTGTTTAAGTGTCTGCATTGTGCCAGACACTTGGATTTAAAAACTTTACCATCAGTTTTCTTCAGAAGTTTTGCAGTCAGATCAATAGTAAACTTTTGAAACCCTTAACTGTGTAACGTTCTCCCTGTCATTCTTACTTAGGGGATCTTGAGCTGAAGCCCTCAACATTCCTCATTATTGACCGTCTCTTGGGACGTTTGAAGATTCAAGAAACTCAAGATTTGGATGCTGGTGATTATACGTGTGTTGCTGTCAATGATGCTGGAAGAGCAGCTGGCAGGATAACTCTGGATGTTGGCTGTAAGTAAGCGTCCTGGCTCTGGTAGACAAGTTTGTTTTGAAATTGACCTGGAATTTTGTCATGCTCGCAGCTTTGAAACAGTTAGTGGAAATACTTGTCAGAATGACAAAATTAGAGTTAGCATTTCATATTATTAATATAATGTAGTTAACATATACCAGGTTTTTTTTCTATTTACCAAGCACTGTACTGAGAACAGTGTATACATCTATATGTATGCGTTATATCATTAAACCCTGTTGCTGCTGCTGCTGCTAAGTCACTTCAATCGTGTCCGACTCTGTGCGACCCCATAGACGGCAGCTCACCAGTCTCCCTGTCCCTGGGATTCTCCAGGCAAGAACACTGGAGTGGGTTGCAGTTCCCTTCTCCAATGCATGAAAGTGAAAAGTGACCAAGTGTTTTTTTCTATTTACCATGCACTATGCTAAGAACAGTGAATATACATGTGTGTGTATATGCTTTATATCATTTAACCCTTTTAACAATCTTAAGAGGAATATACTATAATTTTCCCCACTATATAGGTAAGGAAATGTAAACTTAAAAAAGTCTAAGCAAATTGACCAGGTCAAGAGCTATGGAGGGATAGCCTGGTTGTTTGAACCCAGGTCATTTGATTTCAGAGACTATAGGCTTCAGAGTCTCTCGTCTGTTTGCCAAACATTTTCCTATCAGGAGTCATCCATTTGGACAGCAAATTCCTAAGTATTAACATCTGAAGGCCGAAAATTAGACTTTGGCCCTCAGTCATAATTTGGAAATGTTGATGACAGAAAAGGTAGCAGATTTTCCTCTTCCTTTTGTTTTTTTTTTTTTAAATTCACTAGCAGTGACTCCTTTGTGTATAAGAACAAAGCATGAACTACAAATAAACATCAATCACAGTGGGAATGATACATCATGTGCATGACAACTTTAGTCAGATTACTCAAGGAGTTTGGTCCTCCCTTCTTCGTCTCTCCATCTCATGCTTCTTGAAAAATAAAATTACACAGTTATGGTTAACACATGAAATAAAACAGAGCTGCTTTCATACGAGAAAGAACCCAGCAGCTTAATTTTAGCAGATAAATCATATGGTTGCATCACTTAAATTTATAAAATATGACATTTCATTAAATTGCATTTTCATTTATGCATGATAATTTTCAAGCCAAAGCTGGTTTTTTTTTTAAAGGTTAAGAACTATAAAGAAAGTGCATTTTTTATTTTGAGTAAAGTAGCAAAGAACATTTTAGTTCTACCGTCTTAGTTCTTTAAATGAAAGTCATGTCCCTCTAAGCTTAGTATTTTGTTTTGTATAAATGTTTTTCCCCTTGGGATCTTTTATGATGCCCGGGCCTCTGGACTTTCTGGTGAACACTCTGCATTCCTGGTGATTATGCCCTTAGGGTAGAATCAACAAAGCTGCTATGGCCACAAAGATCACTGTAGAATCTGTCTGGGGCACAGCAAGATGTGTTTGAACCATGACTAAACCCTGTGGTTACTGAAAGAAGTGCTTTGGAAATAAGATTGGAATCTCTGGGTGGAGGGTCCCTAAATCTATCAGCAGAGTGTAAGATACAAGAAATGCTTTTAGAAACACTGGGTCAGCCAACCCATCTACCAGTGTTCAGAAAAACTCAAACGAACTTTTTGACCAACCCAATATAAGGTCCAAATGAAGTGGCTGATCAGATACAGAGATATCTGTAAGATATTTTAAGAAATATACAGAGTTTCACTTCTCAACATTTTCTAGTTTTGCTTCTCCCTCTTTCCTGCATGGATATTTTCTGTTAACCCAACATTCTTTTCGAGTTGTCTAACTCTAGAGGAGTGAAATAGCTCAGCAAAAAGGGAATGATATCCTCAACCCCTCCAAGATTGTAGAAAATCTCCAGAGAAAAGAGATGACACCCTCAACCCCTCAAAGATTGTAGAAAGTCTCCAAAGAAAAGGGAATGACACCCTCAGCCTTCCAAGATTATAGAAAATCTAAACACCTTACATGCTTACTTGGTACCTTCTTGATAATTTTTTTAGCTTCTGGACTTTCCAAGTTTCTCTTCTGATGAGCAAAAAGCCGTATAGAGGTTAGAGCTGTCTGTGCTGGAGTGACTTGGAGTAGATTAGGAAACATCCTAATAAAAGTTTGGTATTTTATAACCTAGACATCAGTCTGCCTCTCTGTCTTCAGTACATCTCTAATTAGTACATCTCTAATTCGGGTCTCTTGCCCTCTTGTATTTACACCCCCTCAGACAGGCTGTAACTTGGAGTCATCTTCACATCCTTTCCTATAATCATGATGCTGCCACACCAATGGGAAGGGTGACCTAAACCTTGGGCTGTGGTAAATTAACAAAATCCCTCCTCAGCTCTTGACTCAGAGCTCAGTCCTCCTGTGTATGCGTGTGTAACTTTCTCTCCCATTTCCTATGGACAGTTCACAGCTGAGAACGTTTTCAAGTCTCTTCCTAATCTCTACCACCTTTGCTCTCACTGTGGCTTTCCCTTCCACCTCAGAGACGGAAGTGAGACATTTTGGCAGTCAGTCCCTTCGCCTCCTACCTCTGTGTCTGTAGACTAATCCTCACCTCCTTCCCTCTTCTCTCCAAGGTTGTGAAAGACATGAAGATGGGGAAAAGTTGATAAGATGGTAATATATGGATCAAAGGACTAAAGGTCGTTAACAGCAAACAGTAAGATTCTGAAAGACTTACCTTAATAAGTCTTTAATTGGTACTTAATAAGTACCAACCATTGTGTGAAGCATTTCACATACATTATTTCATTTGATAATAACTATGAAGTCTGCACTATGAGTATCTTTATTATGAGCTCAACGAGGTTAGGTAAGTTATCCACCATCATACTGCTAATAAATGATAGACCTAAGAGGACTCAGCCCTCTCATCTGTTCTATTACAAGACCACAGGCAAATTGTTGTTGTTCAGTTGCCCAGTCCTGTCCTACTCTCTGTGACCCCACGGACTGCAGCAGGCTGGGCCTCCCTGTCCATCACCAACTCGGAATTTACTCAGACTCATGTCCGTTGAGTCAGTGATGCCATATAACCATCTCATCCTCGAAGCCCTCTTCTCCTTCTGTCCTCAATCTTTCTCAGCATCAGGGACTCTTCCAATGCCTCGTCTGTTCTCATCAATGACCAGAATATAGGAGATTCACTTCAGCATCAGTCATTCCAGCGAATATTCAGGGTTGACCTCCCTTAAGATTGACTGGTTTAGCAAATAGTTATAGTGAAATTAAAAAACTGTTTTGATTAGAATTAGAAATTTTAGAATCAAAAATTATTTGATTATTATTATTATCTATTGTTATTAGAATCAACTGTTTTGACTTAATTAGAATTAGAAAACTGTGGTCTGGGCATGAAATTTGATAAAAAGGAGGAATTGCTGGAGGGCTGAAGGTCTCAAAGTTGGTAGCTGGTTGAAATGAGCCTCAGAGGAACATGATTACTAATTTGGAGCAGAGAGGTGGAAATTTGAAATGGCCTTAAAATAAAAGGATGTAAGAAAAAAAGTTATATATTTATCCCTTGTTCCTTGATCTGGATTTTTTTTTTCTCTTCACTCATATTCAAAATCTTCACTCTCAGTGACCTTTTCTAAAACAATGGCTTCCTTAATTTTATTCCAGTAATTTTCCTGATGGAGCTACTTACATAAACTCCATTGTTTGCTTACTGTAACCTTGATCATTGTTGGCAATTGCCAAATAACTTAATATTACATCACCATTCATGATTTTGGCATGCCTTAACTATTTCCCTATTCACCATTAGTATTCTGATCATTGTATTAATAGCTCACAGAGTTTGATTAGACCTTTTCTGGCCACCTAAAAGTACTGTTGCATATCCTAGCAAATAGATGATGTAACTGCCACACACTATGCACATCACAGTTGTGGTTCTGATCACTACAACTTTACTACAAGTAAGTCACCACCACAACCTTACTACAAGTAGGTTTTAGCAACCCCCCCCAAAAAAAAGCCAAGTTTTACCCAGAATTTAAAGAGAATGGGCTGTAGAAAAGGACTGGGTTTTCTGCCTAGCTTTAATAGTACCTACTTGATAGGTTGGGCTTCCCACGTGGCTCATGGTAAAGAATTCACCTGAGAAGCAGGAGATGTGTGTTCAATCCCTGGGTCAGAAAGATCCCCTGGAGATGAAAATGGCAACCCACTGTAGTTTTTTTGCCTGGGAAATCTCATGAACAGAGGAGCCTGCTGGGCTATAGTCAAAGGGGTTGCAAAAGGAATCAGACATGACTTAGCAACTAACCAACCTAAAGATGAAATGAGGTATTGTAGCCTATGTATTGGGTTGGCCAAGAAGTTCATTCAGGTTTAAACTTCTTGGCCAACCCAATACATTCAGTATGGGAGCAATTACTGCTTTTCCTTCAAAGCTGCTTAATGGGACATGTATCAAATAGGTGAATATTTACTTTACAACCTGAGTGGTCATTTTGATTCTCCAAGTCTTGAAAAATAATACAAAAAAAGCATTAAAAATAGTGGTATAGCATTTAAGATTAAGCATTTTGCTTTTAATATGATAGTGTTTCAACTTGATTTTTGAAAAGAGGGCTTGAGATAATTTAAGTGCTACTTTTAGTAGTGCATAAAATTATTCATTTGAGTTCCAGAACTATTGGGCATGAATTTAAGTAGATGATGACTTAAGAAGAACTTGCTTTTATCCATATCATGTAACTAGTTGGACTTTCAGATTGTTTTTGTGGATCTGTTACTTCACATAAACAATACTAGATCAAAAAATAATCGTAAAAAGTCTGTTTCATGTTATTTTTGAGTTCAAGCTTCTTGTTGTGAGTCTCCATTTTCCTATTTCTCATTATCATGACTTTAAGTTGTGGACATTTCAGGTCAGCGTTCAGGGAACATTACCAGTGCTTTTCATCCTTCTTCAAAAGGATGTCATTTGGAAGAGAAAAGGACTGGCTACATCAAACAAAAAGTTGGCCTGGCAGTGACTCTATTTGCAGGATTCCACACCACAGAGGGTGATGTTTTAGACTTAGACCATGGTTTCATGTTTTGTGGTTTGGTAGAACCAAAACAGGGTGTTCAGCCGTTTTAGAACAAAGAAATTCTCGGTTGGACTAATGTAATGCAAAAGTTGCCATAGTCAGGAGAGATTTGATTGTCACTGAAGGAACTAGAATAACTTTATAGAATAGGTTTTAGATCATGATGGTAGATCTGTTTGTAAGTTTTATATTTTCAAAATAATGCGTTCATACAACCACATCCACCTGTAAGTGACAGCAAAGCTGTACTGAGCATTAACCCTGTGATCAAGGTGCTTGCACATAAATATTTAGGGGCTCATAGAGGACCCAGCATAATAAATCTATTAGACTATATGCAGAAGCCAGGGACTTCCCTGGTAGTTCAGTGGCTAAGACTTCACTTCCAGTGCAGAAAGTGAGGGTTCAAACCCTGAATGGGAGTTAAGATCCCACATGCCTCGGGGCCAAAAATCCAAAACATTAAAAAAAAAAAAAAAAAGACAACCACAGTATATACAGAAACCAAATTTAAAACTAATATTAGATACATTAAACTCTGAACTATAACTTAACAAATTAACTATATAGCATTTATGATCACTGATAGTCAATACATGGGTAATTACTACGTGCTAAATGACTGATAATGATTCTTTCTTTTACGAACATGAGATAGGATATGTTATTATCCCTCTTTTGTTGATGGGGAAATTTAGACTGGGGGAGGTAAAATAATTTTTCAGGTTTATATACTAAGAAATAGTGAAGCTACAATTTGATACCACCTGGTGGGCTGTAATTTCCCTAAGCTACTTCTCTAATCTACTAGCTCCTCTGTGTTAGTTGCTCAGTTGTGTCCGACTCTCTACGACACCATGGACTGGGGCCCGCCAGGCTCCCCTGTCCATGGGATTCTCAAGGCAAGAATACTGGAGTGGGTTGCCATTTCCTTCTCCTATTTTTTGTTTGCTTGTTTTTAACTAAATTAACTTCTGCTTCCTTTCCTACTGGTTTTAATAACCTATTTACTATCCACCCAACGTAATTCCCTTGGAGTCTGAGCTGGCCACACTCAAGAGTAGGAAGTTCTTAAAAGGCCTCTTGAGTTGAGGTAGGAGCTGCTTCATATTGAGGCTTGCTTGCCATTGATGCTGTCTTGGCTGCCCATCTCGTGCCTTGTACATTTGCCCTGTTTTCTGGTACCAGGACGTTTATTCCCTGACCTTGTGCTTGTCTCGTGCCTAACACTGTTCCCAAAGCTTCTTCACCAGAGGTGACTTCTCTCATGTCAGTTGAGCTTTATGGGCACAACTTGAGCTTCACTTATCCTTTTTAAATCTGGTTTCTTCTTGGCTTTCTTATGTCTGAAAAGTCTCATTCATCTACATTTTCACTGATGACTGTGTTCTATTATGTCACTAACCTTGGTTTCCTCCCAAAAGAGTTGATTAGTTCCAGGCTTCTGCATATCTTTTGCTTTTCTGGAGCTTATATTCGGTCACATCTCTAGATTCACCTTTCACTCTGAACCTAGCATATTTCGTGGAATTTACACATCTCTTTTTCAGAAAAGCAACTAGCTCTAGAATAAATGACTAATCTCACTCCAGATAGATGTAAGGCCTTACATACCTAGGATAAGCAAACAGTGAGCTGCTTTCTGAACTATTTTTAAGTGCATTTATTTTACCTATTGTTTTTTATTAGTCAAATTCCCATATAGAGGTAAGAGAAATCTGAATAGGTATACAACTTCTTTTTATAAACACATTACTCAATAGTAGTGTTAAATTTTATTTTATGTAGTTTCAATAAACAAATGACGGGACTTCTGAAATTGACGTGTTTTTTCAAAATACAAATTCAAATGTACTGTACCAATGTTGTTTTCAACTTACACACTTAATGCACACACACACTCACATGCTAGATTATTGTTTTAATATTGATTCAATCATTCACAGATATCTAGCATGCATGTATAATGCACAGAGTAACATGTTAGTTGCCACAGAAGATAAAAACATGGTTGCAAATATAAATTCTCTGGGGAAGGTCAAATGTGTGGTCTAGTAAGAGACTGAATGGAGCCATTGCTGTGACAGTGGTGTAGACTGAGTTCTCTGAAACCTCAGAGAGGGAAAAAAATCACATCCATTTAGGATGGTAAGACTTGGCATTGAGGAAGGGCCTTTTGAACTGCATTCAAGAACTGTTAGTTCTTCAATAGCCAGAGATCAACATCAGACATCACATTTGGAAGGAGTGGTGTTGGCATAGGTGCTGATTTGAGAAAGGTCAGTCCTTGCCTCGAGTAAGTTCTGATTGTCCAGAGAATAAGATTTGTATAGAGAACTAATGGAAAATGGGGCTACAAAGTTAAAGGAAGTCCTTTAGCCCAGGTTAATAAAGCACTATTGCTACTTGGGAGACAGGTGTACACCCAAGTCCCAGAATTACCATTTAGAAGGAGAAAGGTGATCTCCACACCCATTTTTACCAGCTGGATAACCAGCTTGAATTTGGGCAGTTATAAAAACCCATAGAAAAGAGAGGCTGATAAAATGATAAAGAACTGTGACTCTGGAGTCAGATCAGTCTGATTTTCAATACTAGTTCCATTGTTCAGCTCCATGTGACACTTAGCAAATCAACCATCTCTGTTTCATCTTCTATAAAATTGGGATAATAACAGTATCTACCTCATAGGGATATTATGAAGATCAAATGAAATAATTAATGAAGAGGACTTAACCAAGTCTCTGGCTCTATATGCTATCAGTTCAGTTCAGTTCAGTCACTTAGTTGTGTCCGACTCTTTGTGACCTCATGAACCACAGCACGCCAGGCCTCCCTGTCCATCACCAACTCCTGGAGTCTACCCAAACCCATGTCCATTGTGTTGGTAATGCCATCCAACCATCTCATCCTCTGTCGTCCCTTTCTCCTCCTGCCCTTAATCTTTCCCAGCATCAGGGTCTTTTCAATTGAGTCAGCTCCCCACATTAGGTGGCCAAAGTATTGGAGTTTATAGTTTTTGCAATTCATAACCAATGTTTAATCTTGACATTATCAAGGAGACCTTCTTAGGGTACTTCCTCTTAGAGTCCTACATGAACAGGCTTCATCTATTACCTCTAATAGTATCTTATATATTTCTCCTTGCCTGATGCCTCACACATTCATGAGTTCTGTGGGATATACTGAGAGCCTCATCTATTTGGGCTTGCTGACAGCATCCTCCCTATCTTGCATTCTTGTGTTTTCCCAGGTAGGCCTGTTAACCTCTCATTTTTCCTTCTGGCTTCTGTGGTTACCTAAATTATGTAGATAACTGTAGACTTCTTATCTATAATTTTATAATTTCTGAATCATTTCTTAACTCTAAGATTAATCACTCCCTAGGTTCCATTTATCAAAAGCTATCCTATAAATTTAAATTATTGATTTTCAAGCTTCAATTTCTTTAACTCAAAAATGCCAAAAATATATATATAAAATGTATTGAGAAGCAAAAATGTGATATACACCAAGAATATAATTTAAGATTAAATACTGTCTGCTTGCTATATAGTGATCTATTGAAGAATAAGCCTTGATATGAATAAATTTATTTAAAAATTCCACCAAAAGAAGTAAGTTTTGGAAATTGTCTAAAGTATTTCATTACAAAGCAGACTTATTTACTTATTTATTAGAAAATTTAAATTTTTGAGGAGTGTGGCATAAACTAAAAGATATATTCCAGTAATGAAAGATTCTCTTTAGTTAAGGAAATCCTGATTTAAATTGTCATTGCTTCTCTCTTATCATGCTAAGGGAATAGTCAAACTTCCTTGTGCCTCTATTCATTTATTAAGAAAATGTTTTAATAGCAGACGAGTATTTAAAACATATATTTATAATAGTATATGAACAATAAGTTGATTCAAATTCAATCTGTTATTTGGTTATTAAATTCAGTTCAGTTTAGTCATTCAGTTGTGTCCAACTTTTTGCGACCCCATGGACTGTAGCATGCCAGGCTTCCCTGTCCATCACCAACTCCTGGAGCTTGCTCAAACTCATGTCCATTGAGTCAGTGATGCCATCCAACCATCTCATCCTCTGTCGTCCCCTTTTCCTCCCTCCTTCAATCTTTCCCAGCATTGGGGTCTTTTCCAATGAGTCAGTTCTTCACATCAGGTGGCCAAAGTATTGTTGTTTCAGCTTCAGCATCAGTCCTTTCACTGAATATTCAGGACTGATTTCCTTTAGGATGGACAGAGTGGATCTCCTTGCAGTCCAAGGGACTGTCAAGAATCTTTTCTAACACCACAGTTCAAAAGCATCAATTCTTTGGCGCTCAGCTTTCTTTATAGTCCAACTCTCACATCCATACATGACGACTGGAAAAACCATAGCCTTGACTGGACGGAGCTTTGTTGGCAAATGCCGCCTAGATTTGTCAATTGCTTTTCTTCCAAGGAGCAAGCGTCTTTTAATTTCGTGGCTGCAGTTTATTCATGCTGTTTATTAAATTAGCTATAAATTAATTTATATTTCATGTGGCTGTATACGATACCAATGACCGTTTTTTTTTTATTTTAAATATCTTCCAGCACCTCCAGTTTTTATACAAGAACCTACTGATGTATCTATGGAAATTGGCTCAAATGTGACATTACCTTGCTATGTCCAGGGTTATCCAGAACCAAAGATTAAATGGCGAAGATTAGACAACATGCCCATCTTCTCAAGACCTTTTTCAGTGAGTTCCATCAGCCAACTAAGAACAGGAGATCTCTTTATTTCAAGTAGGTTAAAGGAAATATATTTTATGCAAATATGTACATTGAAAGTATACATTTTTTATACATAGGCATTGATATGTTCAAAATAGTAAATTAATCTTGCCAACACATTTTGTGTTTGTTGAATTTCATTTAAAATAATACTGAACTCATGCCTGGGATTTATCGTAAATGAATAGCATTTTATTCAATTTTATGTTGTTACTATATCATCAGGACTTATGGAGCAGTATGAACTTCTTTATATCTCAGTTTCCTATTACAAATAGAGTCAACCTGGGCCTGTAGGTGGATAAGTAATCATATCTTATTTACTCTTGTACCAACTGTTGTATAGAGAGGTAAAATATTACTAGTAGTTAGTTAATGATAATTGTTTGGGCCAAGAATTCATAATCACATGCATAGGGACCCTGTTCACTATCAATGTAGACTAAAAACCATCTGTCTGGAGCAAAGCATTTTTTAAAAAGTCAAATATTCCATCATCTCAAACTTTTACCGATGATCTCTTAAGCATTCAGATATTTGTAAACTGTTAGTAGTTTTTCAAATATTGTTAAGAATGTTTGGATAATGGTATAAGAGGAGTGAAAACAACTCAATGATGAATTGACTTTTTAAAAAAATTTCATTTTAGGGTATTTTGTAGAAAGCTCACCATAAGTGATTTTCATGTTTATTAGTAATGTCAAATGTACATTATCCTCCCGTAAAGTTTCAGTACAAATTAATTACAAGCACTTAAGTGTCCAGCTTTGTGCTGGGCTCTGTGATGAAGACTGAAGTCAAATATTGGGTTCTTCCCTCAGATATTTTATAATCTACTGTCTGAGTGGGTGGCCATATAAGTACATATGAGAATTAATCAATAGATGGGTCAGATTGTGCAGAACCTGAAATGTGCAGGTAAAGAACTGTAGTTGGTAGGGTAGCAAATAGCCCCCCAAGCTTCCTAGGCAGGAAATGGCACGTGAAAGTACTGTTTCAGAACAGCTCTTCTGCAGGATAGAGGAGACATGAGCTAGAAGGAAGAATAGAGAAGCTCACACAGATAGGCTGACACAGTGGTGATGAGAAACAGCCCAGAGGGAAACAAAAAGACTTGAAAACAAATCAGTTGGTGGAAATGAAAGAAAAGAAAAAATAAAGGAGGGCAATGTATTCATCAATGGTTGTCCAGTTGCTCAAAGTAAATTATCTAAAAGGAAGCTAGCAATTAGAAATTTAGTTCTCAGTGGTATTTTGTATTTCTCTACAAAATAACCTGAGTTGATAATATGAAAAATATCTTGTTTAGAAATAATCTCCAACTTATTAACCAAGTGGTTTGCCAGAGTTGTCTTGGCTAATGAATGTTTGCTAATTTTGAGAGTACATACCACCAGCATTTACCAGATGCAATTCTATAGTTACACGCATGTGGTTAACAGAGTAGAAACTTGGTCAGCACTCTTTGAGATAGGATGGAACTATTCATAATGGAAAACTATTACTTTTTCTCTGTCAGTGTCTTATCAATAGGTTAAAATGTGCTTATTTTAGTTAAGATATTTGCAAAGATGACTATCAGTCCCCTATTTAAAACCTTCTTTTCACTTCTCAGTTGCTCGTATTATAAAACTATGCTTTTTATTTATTTATTTTTTTTGATATTAAAAGAATCAAATTTATTAGCATATTCACATTCATTAGATATCAAAACCAACCCAGTGCTCTGTGGCAACCTGGAGGGGTGAGATGGGGAGGTGGGAGAGAGATATAAGAGGGAAGAGATAAATGTATACTTATGGCTTATTCTGGGCTCCAAAATCACTGCAGATGGTAATTGTAGCCATGAAATTAAAAGACGCTTACTCCTTGCAAGGAAAGTTATGACCAACCTAGACAGTATATTAAAAAGCAGAGACATTACTTTGCCAACAAAGGTCCATCTAGTCAGGCTATGGTTTTTCCAGTGGTCATGTATGGATGTGAGAGTTGGACTGTGAAGAAAGCTGAGCACTGAAGAATTGATGCTTTTGAACTGTGGTGTTGGAGAAGACTCTTGAGAGTCCCTTAGACTGCAAGGAGATCCAACCAGTCCATCCTAAAGGAGATCAGTCCTGGGTGTTCATCAGAAGGACTGATGCTGAAGCTGAAACTCCAGTACTTTGACCACCTCATGAGAAGAGTTGACTCATTGGAAAGTACCCTGATGCTGGCGGGGATTGGGGGCAGGAGGAGAAGGGGACGACAGAGGATGAGATGGCTGGAGGGCATCACCCACTCGATGGACATGAGTCTGAGTAAACTCTCGGAGTTGGTGATGGACAGGGACGCCTGGCATGCTGCGATTCATGTGGTCTCAAAGAGTCGGACATGACTGAGCAACTGAACTGAACTGAACGGATGGCTGATTCACATTGTTGTATGGCAGAAATCAACACAACTTTTTAAAACAACTATCCTTCAGTTAAAAATAAATTTTTAAAAAAATTTTTAAAAATTACTTGAGCATTTAAAAAAGCAAAATCAAATTAATATAAGTAACTAAAAGTTTCCTCATACATTTTTTTTTTATATTGTAAACTCTCCACTTGTCAAACCAGTGATAGAAAGTACCCACCTATATTTTTTTTTTTTTTTTTTTGTGAGTAAACAGCAGTCCCTCACAGCACTGGCTGGAAGCCGCCCATTGAGTTTATTTTATTTTTTTCTTTTTCTTTTTTTTTTTATTTTATTTATTTTTTTCATTTATTTTTATTAGTTGGAGGCTAATTACTTTACATCATTGCAGTGGTTTTTGTCATACAGATGGCTAACAAACACATGAAAAGATGCTCAACATCACTCATTATCAGAGAAATGCAAATCAAAACCACAATGAGGTACCATTACACACCAGTCAGGATGGCTGCTATCCAAAAGTCTACAAGCAATAAATGCTGGAGAGGGTGTGGAGAAAAGGGAACCCTCTTACATTGTTGGTGGGAATGCAAATTAGTACAGCCACTATGGAAAACAGTGTGGAGATTTCTTAAAAAGCTGGAAATAGAACTGCCATATGACCCAGCAATCCCACTTCTGGGCATACACACCGAGGAAACCAGATCTGAAAGAGACACGTGCACCCCAATGTTCATCGCAGCACTGTTTATAATAGCCAGGACATGGAAGCAACCTAGATGCCCATCAGCAGACGAATGGATGAGGAAGCTGTGGTACATATACACCATGGAATATTACTCAGCCATTAAAAAGAATTCATTTGAATCAGTTCTAATGAGATGGATGAAACTGGAGCCCATTATACAGAGCGAAGTAAGCCAGAAAGATAAAGACCATTACAGTATACTAACACATATATATGGGATTTAGAAAGATGGTAACGATAACCCTATATGCAAAACAGAAAAAGAGACTCAGATGTATAGAACAGACTTGTGGACTCTGGGAGAAGGCGAGGGTGGGATGTTTCAAGAGAACAGCATCGAAACACGTATATTATCTAGGGTGAAACAGATTACCAGCCCAGGTTGGGTGCATGAGACAAGTGCTCGGGCCTGGTGCACTGGGAAGACCCAGAGGGATCGGGTGGAGAGGGAGGTGGGAGGGGGGACCGGGATGGGGAATACATGTAAATCCATGGCTAATTCAAAACTATGCTTTTTAAAAGGCAGCAGTCTACCTCTTCAGGCTCCTGATTATGTCCATATAACCTGTAACCCAGTAATCTTCCCCCTTATCCCCAACACAATCTTTAATTTAAAATATTTCAAAATATGCTTTTTATTACACTGAACATTTTATATATTTGACTGTCCTACATAATAAAAAATTTTAACATGCAAATTTAGTACAAAAGAAAACAAAGTAATTTTTCTTAAAATAATACCTATTTCAGCAGATAAATGGGCTTCCCTGGGGTGGCTCAGTGGTAAAGAATCTGCCTGAAATGCAGGAGACCTGGGTTTGATCCCTGGTTGGAAGATCCCTTGGAGGGGAGGGCATACCAACCCACTCCAGTACCCTTGCCTAGAGCATACCATGGACAGAGGAGCCTGGTGGGCTGCAGTCCATAGGGTCATACAGAGTTGGACATGACTGAAGTGACTCAGTAGAAGCAGCAGCAATAGATAAATATCCAGGCAATGCTCACACAGTATGCATACTTGTTTATTTATATCACCATGAATTTAACAGCTAAAATGTAGAGTGATAAAGGAATATGGATTGATGACCCAGAAACTCTAGGCTGGTTCTAAAATGGTACACACTTTTGGAAAAGTTCTTTCTTTCTTCCACTTATACAGGATTAGGTTGTAGGCTCAAATAATTATAAACAAAGTCATCAAATCCAAAAATTTCCTGTGGGGCCTTTGAAAGTCTTGCTGAACTTGGGATATTATTCCTATTGTGAATCCAGCCCCGTGCATTGTCTACCTAGGTGTTGCCGGTAGACACCCCTTATTATTTGCTGTTGTTATTTTAAGTTATGTCTGACTCTTTGTGACCCCATGGACTCTAGCCTGTCAGGCTCCTCTGTCCACGGGATTTTCTGGGCCAGATTACTGGAGTGCATTGCCATTTCCTCCTCCAGAGGCTCTTCCCGACCCATGGTTCAAACCCACATCTCCAGGTCTCCTGCATTGCAGATGTATTCTCTACTGCTGAGTCACCGGTGAAGCCTCCCCTAATCATGGTACCAATGAAAACAGTCTCTCCTGCAAGCCTCCAAAATGTCCCCAGGGAGGTGACACAGCTTTCCATTCTTTGAACAGAGCATGATTTTTCAAGTCATGTTCTTGCCTGTGAGCCCATTGGGTTTGGACTGCCCTTCCTCTGTTCTACCTGTTCTTTAGGTGTTTAAGGTATAGCTCAGGCTTCCCTAGTGGTTCAGAAGTAAAGAACCCGCCTGCAGTGCAGAAGAGGCTGGGGATATGGGTTCAATTCCTGGGTTGGAAAAATCCCCTGGAAGAGGAAATGGCAACCCATTCCAGAATTCTTGCTTGGGAAATTCCAAGGACAGAGGAGCCTGGCAGGCTACAGTCCATGGGGTCACAAAGAATCTGACACAACTAAGTGCACATGCACATGCAGATGTTAGCTCCTATGGGACTTCTTCCCTAAGTCCTCCACATGCACATGCAGATATTAGCGCCTATGTGAGTCCTTCCCTAGCTCCTCCACATGCGCATGGAGATGTTAGCTCCTATGGGACTCCTTCCCTGACTCCTCCACATGCCGTCAGGCACTTCTGGTCTCTGCTCCCACAGCTCATGGTCTGAAGCTCAAATGAGAGCATGTTCACACTGCGGTAGGATTGTTGTTTTCTATGTGTGGCTCCTCTCCTAAAATGGGAACTACGAGGTGGCAGTATCATATTTTCCACTCACAGATCTCAGCACTGTGACTCACACGTGGTTAATGGGTGGTGCTGAGTGAGTGAATAATCTCTTCTTTTTAGACTTATGGGCAAGTGATAAAGGAACATATATTTGTGAAGCGGAAAACCAGTTTGGAAAGATCCAGTCCCAGACAACAGTAACAGTGACAGGACTTGGTAAGATCAATGAAGTACTTAGCACACTTTTTGCAAACATCAGGCTTCTCTTACTACCTCATTTCTTCCTTGTACCATTAAAAAAAAAAAAGTAAATATCTAATTGCAGCATTACCTATCCTTCCCTCCTAACCTAGTTCATATTTCCTTGATGTTAGAAGTGGAAATAACCTTAGAGATATCCGCTTTAAGCTCCTTACCTTCCACTTGAAGAAATGAAGGTCAATTGAATAAATTCATTTAAGTCTCAGTATGAATACACACACACACACACACACACACACACACACACGGTTGTGGTATTCTTTTCTAGTTCTTTTCTTTACACTTATCATTTTAGTCCACATGGAATTATTTCTCTGTGTGATATGAATTAAGAATACAAAATCCTTTCTTTCCAAGGGTAAGACTTTGTTACAGTATCTTTTATTGAATATTCTCTTCCCACTGATTAAAATACCCATTTGGCCACACACTTAAATTTATATTCTATGTCTGTTCCTTGGAATTCTGTTCATATGCTACTCCTACACTATTTAAATTATTATAGCATGTGTTGTGATTTTTAAATCTGTCAGTTCACATTTCTCATTAATGCAATATTTTCTACAATAACTTCTAAAATATTTTCTTCATGTATCTCCCTTTGTTCATCTATGTATGCTTACATTTTCCAAGAAGGATCTCTTAGGGCTGTTACTTTGATTTATGTTGAATTTATTCATTGATTTCTAGAAAAGAGTATGTTTACAATGTTTCCGTGCCTTCCATCATTCTATTTGCCTGAGCAGTTATAACAGCCTCCTCACTAATCTCATCCCTTCTAATTGTCCCTTGTCCAGTAAGTTCCCAGATGAATACTTCCTGATGATTCTACTTTTCTATTTATCAGTGCTTTCAAACACTCCATCTGTCTGTTGAATATTTTGCAAATTTCTTGGCTTGACTTTTCTGGCCTTTAAGCCATAGACCTACTTACGTAACTTTATTTCCTCCTATACTGTTACCTGTCCTCCTACCAGTCTCTCTTGCTTAGAAAGGTCCTATATCTCTGTCTTCTAATTTGTACATATGTGCAATTAAATATCTTGTTCTGGAAAACTCGGTTTTCTAATAGCTTCCCTAGTAGTCACCTTGGTCTATGAAAGAACTGGCCTTCCTTTTGAGTGAATTAGTGCTGACGGTGGCTGTGTGCTCTCTCTGAGTTAGTCGCTCCGCTCATTGGAATCAGCCCCCCGGTGACCAGCGTGATTGAAGGGCAGCAGCTTACTCTGCCTTGTGCTTTGCTGGCTGGAAATCCCATTCCAGAGCGTCGGTGGACTAAAAATTCAGCCATGGTAGGAGCTTTTTAAATCCATGCGTTCATATTCCTAATTTTCTTGAGTAAGACGCAATGTGTTTCAACCACTGAAATTTCAATAAAATAAATATGCAAACATTTATTTTTTAAATGTATCAACATGTTTTTTCAATATTAACATGTTTATGCAGTTTATATGATTTTGGAATTAATATGATGGAGAAATAGTCAATGGTATAATTTTTATGATTTTGCATTAAATTCAGTGTTACTAGAAAATTCCAGAATATGTAAAAAATGAAGCAAGGATGAAGTTTGTTTTCATAGCATTTAAATATTTTATATCCTTCTTTGCAGGACCTAATAAAATGTTAATATTCTCATAAAATTATTTCATTTTATATTTTAATCTTTATTATCTTCAAACATTCTTTTACAGTGAACTATTTTACAATGTGGATCAATTTTGTGTCATTGTTTTTCAAGGCATAACTTGTGATTATGAAGGAATTTGAAAATTTTTCACAGTTCTAAGAAATTATTCTGCAAACATACTATCTATGGCAATAAATTTTCATCAGAGCATTTTTCCTTCTATTTTCCAGAGTACTTAGACTTACTCTCCTCTTGAAGTGCCAATTAAAAGTGAATTGAGTCCATGAAATAAGATGTAAAAATGTTCATATTTGCATAAAAACCCGAGAAAAATGAGTGCACCTCACTCAGTAATAAATGCCCTTATGACATAGGATGATACTGTTTGAGCACTTAAGTACCCTGTGGTTGAACAAAAGACATAAATGGTACAGAGTTAGCAGTAATGATTATTAACAAACTCTTGTCACCCTTCTCTCATGTACTTCCTATATCATGTATTGACTTCTGGTATTTGTATCTGTCACTGAATAGGGCGGGTGTTGAGATCATTCTCTCAGTTTGAGTGATGCTTGGTTACCAAAATAAAAATGTCAAATGGCTTGCAAGTGGTAAGCAAGTCTTCTTGAAAAAGAACAAATTAAGCCAATAGTAAGAGTCAAATTTGGGATCTGCATGATAACCAAAATTACAGAAACAGGGAATAAATGTTGTTTCTATTTCTTTCTCTTTCCCACATGTGCATAATTCCGACAGATGTTAGTGGATAGAATTTTTGGTGGTATATCACAATGACATACAAATGTTACAGTGCTTGGTAACATTTTATCCTCATCATTTTTCACTTAAGGATGTTAAAATATTTCATTATTTTATAAGACATTCAATTACCCAGTTGGGAGAGAAAGCAGATCTGCTTTTGGCTTAGACACTATTGCCTTTTTAATTAAAAATGGCTTTTTTTCCCTTCAAGTTGGTCCAAAACCCTTACATCACTGTACGCAGTGATGGGAGTCTCCATATTGAAAGAGTCCGCTTGCAGGATGGAGGCGAGTATACTTGTGTGGCCAGTAACGTTGCTGGAACCACTAACAAAACGACCACTGTGGACGTGCATGGTAAGAGGCGCACCCATCATAATTTTTTTCCCAGTTCAGAACTGGGTCCATGTCTTTAAACCAAATCACTCTGTTCCTCTAATTATAAGAAGTAGATATCTTTCCTAGTTGTTATTCTTAACAAAAAGCCTTATTTCTTGAACAGTATTTAACATTGTTAAGGCTGTTTCCAGATTTCCCTTTCCTGTGTACACAAAAAGATATTATTGGGAGTCACTAGCTGAGTCTGTCCAAGGGCTTTTGTAAGTGGTTTCTTAATTGATAAAAGTGAACTTAGCTCTCAAAGAGTTATGTTTAAAAATACATTTTAATTTCAGGCGAGCAGAACTTATTATACCATCCAAACTGCCTCTTCTTTTCAGATTGTGTAAGTGGTCCTTACTAATAACCCCTTTGTGTGTTAGCTAGAAATGACCTAAACTTTTCTAAAGGCCATCTCATGTGCCCCAAACAATCTTTTTGCATGTTATAAATGTCAAAAATAAAAAAATCCAGAAGCTATCTTTTTTTACATTCGTGAGTAACCATTGTCAACTTTTTACATCTCAATAGATGACAGCTACATAGTTTAAGAAATTGTCATAATTTTTTTTTAAATATTTCCTTTAAAGACTTTGCAACATTGCTTTTCTAAAGTGTAGTATTAAAAACTAGCTCTGTGTACAGGGATGAAAGTAGAATAGAACATTTATTTTTAGTAGTTGATTCAGTCTTTTTTAGGGCCTGAATTGGACAATCCATTAATTTCCAAATTTTGCTTGTTCTGTTGAAGTTTCCAGTGAATGCAGGCCATCTTCTTTTTAATGTCTGCTTTTCCTATAAATAACCTCTTCCACCGCTTTCAGTCTCGGACCAATCTTGTGCCAATCTTCACCAATCTTGTATGAAATATTCTTGAAGAAATAGTCAAGTAACACTAAATTATTTATGGTCCAAAAGAGTAAATACATAATGCCAAGTTGGCTACAGTTGTGTTTCATATATGGCTAGAGGCCTTACATTTCCCAGAGGGTGCTTATGGGCTTGTTTGACAATCCACAGTAGAAATGTACTCACATCATCTTCCTTTGACTTATAACAACTGCCTGGAATATTGTCTTGAGATGGATTCTGATATAAATTTTCACTTGGGTCAAAGAGTGACATGAAGTTGGCCAGACTCAAGGAGTTGGAGAAGACCAACACACCAATGATATGGTTCATTAAGATAAAGGAAATTTAACAATGAAAAGTTAAAGAGGTCATTTGAGAACATTGTTTCATCCATCATAGTCCAAAATGAATAACTGATTTAGTTAATAAGATTAAGAAAAAATTAACCTAACCATTTGACATAGACTAAACCAACCAGCTATCTAAAGGAAAGATTTGTCTTTGAGTTGGATGCGATGCAGTGTTATAGTTTCTCTATACCTCTGTACTTATGTTAATTTAATCACTCTTCCTCTCCACTTTTAAGAATATTTATTATATCCTGAGTTAAATCATAATGGAAAAGAAAAAAAGAATGTATATATATACATTTAAATGAGTTACTTTGCTATTTATGAAAGATTAACACAACATCGTAAATCAACTATACTTTGGTTTAATCAATTAAAAAATATAGTAAAGGCTCTCAGTGAATTCTTAAAAGAATTGTATTAACAAATGCACATACAAATGCAAATTAAAATGACAAGCCATTTCATTCTTTACGTTGATTTACATAGATTGACAATCTGGAAAGTAAAAGCTCTTCCATACTCAAATGTGATCAGAGTTGAAAGCTGTTGCCTGCTTTTATAGCTGACATTTGCCTTTATACCTGTCAAACTTAATATGCATTTTAAGAAAATGGCTTATTCCACATTGCCACAAAATGACAGGAAAGTTGAAAATTGACTATTCTGTGATAATTCTGGAAATTAAATTTCTTGCTTTAAAGAGTAGCCCGACATTCTTGTTTAGGGCTGGGAATTTGCTGCCAATTCTTCAAGAAGATATTACCTAAGGAGTAAGCCTAGTCTTAGGAAAATACAAGTATATAACAAAGCTAATCTAATCTTCCTTTTCTAAAAGAAAGCTTTTGCACTGAGGTCTCTGGTATCTCTTGTCTGGTTAACTTCAACTCCAGGGTAGCTGGCATCATTCTAGGTATATTTGACTTAAAGATAAGAGACACAGTGCTTAAGCCCTAGAGAGCAGCTCCATATTTCAGGGGAAGGAAAGGAAATGCATGATATATATATATATATATATATATATATATATATACACACACACACACACACACACACACACACACAACACACATGCACTTTTATGATGTTCATTATGCTGTGTTAGGAACTTTCATGTATGAGAGCTTCTTTAATCAAATTATTTTGAGACCATCAAGTAATGGTAATTTTTTGTGTTCAGAGAGGTTATGATTGGGCTTCCCTGGTGGCTCAGATGGTACAGGAGACCCAAGTTCAATCCCTGGGTCAGGAAGGCCCACTGGAGAAGGGAATGGCAACTCACCCCAGTATTCTTGCCTAGAGAATCCCATGGACAGAGAAGCCTGGTGGGCTACAGGTCATAGGGTCACAAAGAGTCGGACATGACTGAGAGACTAACACTGGTGTGATTAGCAGATTTACACAGAATGGAATGATAAAATCTTCTCTTTCCTATTATTTCACTCATTAGTGTCAATTCTTTAGTTGCTTTCTAAAATCAAAAGGTATGCCATTTTTCCTAGCAAAAAACATCGACTTAGAATCTTGTATTTTCAACTTTTAAATGTAAACTCCTAAGGCCTTTCAAGTATAACTTTTGAGTTCCTTTTGAGGAAACAGATTCTTTTTTCAAGGTTATATTTAGTAGCTTGCTAAGTGATTCTTGTGTATAGAAAGATATTTAATGTGTAGTGGTTAAATAGTCCATTTCTATTGAGGTTGAGGTTAAGTCAGCTCACTGCAGCTTAATGTGTAATGCACAGTGGTGAAAGATATAGGTTAAATGTGTAACACTGAGGATGTAGTTCTATCTTGAATTTCTGGAAAATACAGATTTCCTTCAATCCTCTCATATTTTTGTTAGGAAAATCAACCATATTACACATAATTTACTACTTCATTTTAAGTTTTTATTTAAATTGTTCAGATTGTAACTCTTGTATTTACTTTATTACACTCCCTTACAAATGACCCTACATTTTAACAGAAAGGATTGTCTTTGCTATTTCTTCTAAATATTTGGTTTATCTTGAAAAAGTTCTGCTTTAAACTTGTCAGGCAAAATGGAAGGGTAGGCACTCAGATTCTGCATATTGCTTCCTTTTCCAGTTCTGCCAACCATTCAGCATGGACAGCAGATCCTTAGTACCATTGAAGGCATTCCAGTAACTTTACCCTGCAAAGCAAGTGGAATTCCCAAACCATCTATTGCCTGGTCCAAGGTAAAGGATGCATTTAGTGGTGCTTGTTAATGACATGTACTGTAACAACAACATTTGAATGTTTTTAGTCATACGTGGAACTTGTCACTCTCCTATAGGACATTATAGAGAGGAAAAACCATGCAGTCTTACCTCTTGGAAGTGACCTTAAAATGTCCTTAGTGCATTCACCTATTTGATCCTTAAGTAGTGTTCACACAACAGAGAACATTAATATAGCACATTCTGTGGGCTAGGCATTTTTCTGAGCATTTCACATGTTTCAGCAGATCCTTTTTTTATTCCCTATCAGTGGTTGATCCCAAAACATTTTGACTTCAGTGTAGCTCTGGTGGACAGCTCCATGCTCTCTGCCAGGGTCACCCTTCATGCATGTACCTCTCTGGTTTGGGGACTCAGGGCTTTCTTCAAGCTGCTCAGGGTCACTCAGCCTGCTGAGTGGTCAGGAAGTACAGGATCATTAACTCCTGGGAGGGGGAGATGTCCAATATATATGCCCCATTTCTCATCTATCAGGAGAACCCTTCTGAGTCTATGTGCATAGTGTCTCAGAGGAGCCCCAGCGCCAGAGCACACCGGGGCAGTGAAACCCTTTATTACCCTTCCTTCCTTCTTGCATCACTCTCCCACCCTCCTCTTCAAGGCTCTGGGAATCACTTTCCAAGTAAGTTCCCTGACTCCAAATCTTTGTCTTGGCATCTACTCGTCTCAAAACCAAAACAAGACGCATATGTGAACTTGTTTGGACTTTGCTAGTGACTCAGTGGTAAAGAATCCACCAGCCAATGTAGGAGACACGGGTTCAATCCCTGGGTCATGAAGATTCCCTGGAAAAGGAAACGGTAACCCATGGTAGTATTCTTGCCTGGGAAATTCCATGGACAGAGGAGCTTGGTGGGATGCCATCCATGGGGTCACAAAGAGTCAGACATGACATAACGACTAAACAACAATAACAGTGAACTCATTTATCCCCCCTTTATATTCCCTGTCATAAATTTTTATGGTTTTTCATTGCAGTAAGGAAAAACACATTTTCTGACAAAGTCCTTTCCATAGTTTAATAGCTTCGAAGATGGCATATTTAATTAAATCTGGTAGAAAATAATGTAAAATGATGGCATAATAATGAAATATGGTGTTTGTAGAATTAGAACACAACCAGAGTGTTGTGCCTTAACATCTAATTTTTTAAACTGTATATTTTATATTGAAGTATAGCCAATTAACAATGTTGTGATAGTTTCACATGCACAGCAAAGGAACTCAGCCATAGATGTACATGTATCCATTTTCCCCCAAACTGCTCTCCCATCCAGCCTACCACATAACATTGAACAGAGTTCCCTATGTTATAAAGTAGGTCCTTGCTGGTTATCCATTTTAAATGTGGCAGTGTGTATATGTTCGTCTCAAATTTCATAACTATCCCTTCCCCCAGTACTTCCCTCTTGGTAACCGTAAGTTCATTCTCTCAGTGTGTGAGTCTGTTTCTGTTTTGTAAATAAGTTCATTTGCATCATTTCTTTTTTTAATATATTCTGCATATAAGGGATATCATGCAATAATTCTCCTTGACTTCACTCAGTATGACAGTTTCTAGGCCCACCCATGTCATTGCAAATGGCATTAGTTCATTCTTTTTAATGGCGAGTAATATTCCATTGTATGTATTTACCACATCATCTTTATCCATCCAGGACATTTAGGTTGCTTTCATGTCTTGGCTCTTGTAAACAATGCTACAGTGAATGTTGGGGTGCGTGTGTCCTTTTGGACCGTGTTTTTGTCCAGATAGCCATAACATCTAATTTTATGCTTCTGAAAGTCTCTGAAATATAGAGAAAATGGGTTTGATATCTGTAAATTAAATAAAAAAGTTTCAGATTCCTGCTTCCTGGGCACAAAAGTATGGTGGTGAAGCTGACTCCCCAAACTGCACAGTGTCTGGTATTGAATAGAAGTTTAATGCATTTTTGGGAAATATAAAAACAAAATCTTTCCCGAATGGCCTTTGTTCTGTGATAATACAACAGAGGTGAAGAGTTTGGCCTCCTGAGCCTGCCTGCCCAGGTTCAATTTCTAGTTCTACCAATGACTGACTCTTTCACCTTGGTCAAGTTATCCTACCAAGCTCCCAGACTTAATACTTTCATCTGTAAAATAGGATTGTGGTAATTACTACTCATAAGATTGTTGTGAGTACTACCATAGTTAATTCATGTAAAGTGTTCAAAACGGTGCCTGTCTCAGCACAAACACCCATGCCATTTGCTGCTTCCTCATCCTCTCCAGTTTTGGTAGTTCTAGAATGAAGGGGCCCTGGTCTAGTAGGAAGAAATGTCCCCTTGGCATTTTTTGTTTTTCTTACAAAGAACTTGCTTTAAATTAATATCCTTTCAATCTAATATTTTCTCCCTTAGAGATTTTTTTTCCTCCCTCTCTTCCTCTTCCAGACATTAAGTCACTCCTTTATTATCTTAAGAAACACTTCTCTGTGTTGTTTTGCAGAAGGGGGAGCTGATTTCCACCAGCAGTGCTAAGTTTTCCGCAGGGGCTGATGGAAGTCTGTACGTGGTGTCCCCCGGCGGTGAGGAGAGTGGGGAGTATGTGTGCACCGCCGCCAATGCAGCTGGCTACGCCAAAAGGAAAGTGCAGCTGACTGTCTATGGTGAGAGTCGCCGTGGGCGACTGTTCTCTGATGCTGTCTGTGCCAAAACTCACATTTCTCTCCCAAATAATGTTACCAGAGACCTGAACCCCTAAAGTGAACTACTCCCCCAAGTTTATAGATTTTTTAACAAAAAATGTACTTTTCCTGCCAACCTACATCTCCTCTCTTTAGATTTTGATTTAAAGGGAGAGAAATGGTATAGCCTTTTGGAAAAAATTTAATGGTGTTTTTCCAAGGAGTATGCTTATGGCACCCAACCCTCTTTAGAAACACCACGTAGTTAAGGCTCCTAGCAAAGCCAAACCTCAGCTATGTCTTGGTTAGCGCTTTGCCTTGAGGGGTTACTTTACATATGGCAGATTCTGAAAGGGCATTTTGGCGGACCTTTTCATTGTGTTCTGAAAGGAAGAGCTGAAAAGGAAAATGTTCTAGTCATTTTCTGTTAAACTCTCACAGTAAATGTTTATGGAAAGCTTTAGATATGTCCCCAGACTTTGAAATCAACAGAAACTTTTTGAAAATTATCTAAGAATATTAGTCATCCTGATTTTAACTTGAAGTGTGCTTTGTTTTCAATGTACTCTTTCCCTTCCCAAACTTGTGTTTATTTTAGTAAGGCCCAGAGTGTTCGGAGACCAAAGAGGACCATCCCAGGATAAACCTGTTGAGATCTCAGTCCTTGCAGGAGAAGAGGTGACCCTTCCATGTGAAGTGAAGAGTTTACCCCCACCCATCATTACCTGGGCCAAAGAAACCCAGCTCATCTCTCCATTCTCTCCAAGGTAGGTGACCTGGGATGAATTGCAACACATGAAACAATCTCTTGGGACAGATGACTGTATCTGTTTGGGTTTTCACATGTCTCAAAAAAAAAAACAAAAACTTTTTATTTTTTATTAATTCTTATTGGAGTATAGTTGCTTTACAATATTGTGTTCATTTCTACTGTACAGCAAAGTGAATCAATTTTAAGTATACATCTATTCCCTCTTTTTTAGATTTCCTTCCCATTAGGTCACCACAGAACGTTGAGTAGAGTTCTTTGTGCTATACAGTAGGTTCTCATTAGTTATCTATTTTATACACAGTATCAGTAATGTACATGTGTCAATATTAATCTCCCAGTTTATCCCATCCCCACTTTTCCCATTGGTGTCCATAAGTTCTCTACATCTGTGTCTCTGTTTCTGCTTTGCAAATAAGTTCTTCTGTACCATCCTTCTAGATTCCACATATAAGCAGTATTATATGATATTTGATGCTACTTGTTTTTCTCTTTCTTACCTCACTCCGTATGATAATCTCTAGGTCTATCCACATCTCTGCAGATGGCACTATTTTGTTCCTTTTTAGTGCTGAATAATATTTCATTGTATGTACGTACCACATCTTCTTTATCCATTTCTCTGTTGGTGGACATTTAGGTTTGTTCCTATCCTGACTATTGTAAATAGTGCTACAGTGAACAATGGGGTGCATGTATCTTTTTGAACTGTGGTTTTCTCTGAGTGTCTGCCCAGGAGAGAGATTGCTGGGTCATATGGTAATTCCATTTTTAGTTTTTTGAGGAACCTCCATACTATTCTCCGTAGTGGCTGTACCAATTTACGTTTCCAGTAACAGTGTAGGAGGGTTCACTTTTCTCCAGACTTTCTCCAGCATTTATTGTTTGTAGATTTTTTTCATGATGGCCGTTCTGACCAGAGTGATGTGATACCTCATTGTAATTTTGATTTGCATTTCTCTAATAACTGGTAATGTTAAGTATCTTTTCATGTGTTTTTTTGGCCATTTGTATGTCATCTTTGGAGAAATATCCATTAGATCTTCCCCTCAGAATGGGAGAAAATATTTTCAAACAAAACAACTGACAAGGATTAATCTCCAAAGTATACAAACAGCTCATGCAGCTCAGTATAAAAAAAACAACCCAATCGAGAAGCCCAATTTTTAAATTTGAGATAATTTATATTATAGTGGGCCTACAGGAAACATGTAAACCTTCTAAATCATTCTTTAAGAACAGAAATGCTAAAACTGAGCTTTGACATAACTTTGCACTGGTACATTCTACAAGGTAGTTACGGAAATGGTTTGGATGTAGATTTGTATGTAGATTCTTGTTAGCACAAAGTGCGTATTATCTGTAAAATTGCATTATTCCCAGAGAAGCAATAAAACACAATAGGTTCTCTAATATCAAGGTTTTGACTTTCATTAGGTAGTTTTGTACAAATCTTCTTGATTGAACTAAAGCCCTTAAACAAACAAAGGTCCACTGGAAAAGCACTTGATAGGCTAAGAGTCATGGAAAATAGAATACCAGAGACTTTCAGAGCACAGCTTTTGTTGCCATGCAGGTGTGAGTTTAAATTTACCTCCACTACATAAAGTTTCTCTGAAACTTTGGCAGTTTTTCAGTGGGTCTCTTTGAACCTCGGACTTTTTGTTTATAGAATGAGGATAATTCCTGAAAGGATGATATAATGTACATTCCATATTTCTCCTCTTGTCCTCAAAGAACGGTATCAATTACTGTTTTAACTCAGTATCATGCCGGAAGTTACCGGCAGAATAAGAACTATAATCTCTAGCTTTCATCTCTTGGACTTGTTGATTTGTATAGTTTTGAAGCTATAAATTCATGCCACTCTACTTTCCCTGCCACTGTTGAGGGAAAAAAGTAAACAATGAAGAACTACTTTATTATTTCTTTGAAAAAAAAAAACTTGCCTTGAAATTTTTGAATAGCAGAAATACCTTATTTCAGATGATGTTGAAGTTTCATTTTTCCACTTCTCAGTCAGTCTCTTTCTCTCTCCTCAGGGGCAAACACTGCCACAGACTTGATGTGTAGCCTATACATACATCCTTAGATAGTATAGAATATTTTCTCTGCTTTTAATTTTGTTTCATGTACTTGTTTTCAGTTTACCATTGTAGCATGTTGTCTATTATTCTACTGCTTGCTTTATTGAGTCAGCTTTTATCCATTTTTATACATGTAGATTCAATTTACTCATTTTCATTACCATAAACATATTCTATGTTTTATTTATACAAATTTCTCTATGCTCGGTTTATTTTGTGTTTCTACATTTTATTCTTTTTTTTCCCCCTTGGCTTTAGAAACAAAACTTTTCAGGGAATATCTTTTTACGTCTCTCTTTATATGTATATGCATGAGTTTCTTTGAGACTTGTACCTAAAACCACAGTTTCTAATTTGGATGAATTCCTGTTTTGAGCTTTGTAGACATTGCCTAACTGCCTTCTGAGGGGGCACTCCTGATTTACCTCCCACCAGCAGAATATAGATGTACCTGTTGCCACATTATCAACAATGCATGGTGTTGACTGACCTAAAATTTTTTGCCATTCATATAGGTGTGAAATAGTATCTTGCAGCTATCTTACTTTTCACATGACTGGATTCCAGTGAGCCTGGAATGCTTTCTCTTGTCTGTTGGCCATTTGTGTTGTCTGTGAATTGTATCTTTAAACCTGCTCCAGGGTTCTGGTGCCTTATTTCTCTTTTTATTATTGAATGTAGAAATTTGGGTTTTGTTCTTAATAACAATCTGTCTCTTGTATGTGTTGCAAATATCTCAGAATACTCCTTGCCTTTCAAGTTAATTTATATATGATGTCTAGTTCCATCCCTGGGTCGGGAGGACCCCCTGGAGGAGGAAATGGCAGCCCTCTCCAGTATTCTTGCCTGGAGAACCCCATGGACTCAGGAGCCTGATGAGCTACAGTCCATGGCGTTGCTAAGAGTTGGACATGACTGAGCATGCTAACATTCACATACTGGTTGTACAGAATTTAAAAATTTGCGTGTAGCTCAAAAGTGTTTATTTTTCAGATTTGTACCTTAGTAGATCATAAATAAAACTGCAGTGTTTTATTGCAGTATTTTAAATTTGTTTTCACATTTTGGATGTTAATACTTCCGAATTTTTATTTTGTGTATAACACTAATTTGTGCTCTAATTTTATTTATTTTCCCATGTGGAGAGCCGCTTACCCGACACTATTTTTGAATAGTCAGTCCTTTCCTGACTTTCTGTAATATCACCTCTGATATTACATATTACATGTTGAGTTCTCATATATGCTTCAGTCTTTTGGTGGGGATGAGGGGGTCTCCATCTTTAACTGTTTATCCATTTGTCATTCTCTGGGCCAACAGCACACTTTATTTGTCTTCACTTATAAGAAATCCTGATAGTAGGTAGGTCTATTTGCCCCCCCCCCCTTAAAGCTATTTTAATAAAGTATACATAGTAACATTTTATGTGTAGATCTGGTTTACCTAATTACATAAGAGGAGTGTGTGTGTGTGTGTGTGTGTGTGTGTGTGTGTGTATTCTCAATATATATTTGAGAACTGCATATGTACCTTCTTTTGTTTCTATTTTAGCACTTAAAATTTTTAAATGAAGCATTGGAGAAAAACTATAATATGTTTGAAGTATCTTCAAAGTTTATTAAAACATATTTGTTTTGTAAAGTTATAACTTAATAAAGCAAAGAGATGTACAGTTATGTGACAGTATCACACCCTTAGGTTAAATTTAAATGTCAAAGCAAATTAATTTGGTATTTGTGAGAACATCATACAGAATACTCAAGATAATTATGAAAATTCCTGACTTTTAAGGTGCATAGAAATGACGTTATAGATTGGAGAATGGTTTCAAGAACTGTTTGCAGAGTCATCGTTTCGTAGTGAATTGCTTAGGGGATATTTAAATTCTCATACTTTATGGTCTGCCCTGTGGCTTCCTTCTCTTAGACACACGTTCCTCCCTTCTGGTTCAATGAAGATCACTGAGACCCGTGTTTCAGATAGTGGGATGTATCTTTGCGTCGCCACAAATATTGCCGGGAATGTGACTCAGTCCATTAAATTAAACGTCCATGGTGAGTTTTGAAGTGAAAGTATATGCTATCTGTGGACTAGCCACCAGGAAACCTATTGTCCCAGTTTCTCTGATAGCTATCCTCAAATTGTATACTGAGTAATTATACAAAAATTTTTTAATCTGAGACTCACAACTTTCATTTACTTTGAAAATGTTATCGCCTATCCATAAACAACTTTCCCCTTTTTCTTCAGGTGACCAGTATTAAAATTTTGGATCTCAGTTTTACTAGATGTCCATCCACAGGTCATTTATAAGTATTGTTGATACACCGTAAAAAAAGAAATATGTTTAGGAACTTCCCTGGTGGTCTAGTGGCTAAGAAACCCCAACTAATGCACAGGACATGGGTTCAGTCCCTTTTCGGGGAATAAGATTCCACCTGCTGCAGGGCACTTGAGACCCCCGCTCTAGAGCCCATGCTCTGCAACTAGAGAAAGCCCGCATGCTGCAACGAAGACCCAGGATAGCCAAAATAAAAAATAAGTAAGTAAAAATAAGTAGTTCACTCTAATGCTAAAGCATACTTTAAAAAAAAAGAAATGCATTTAGGCTGATGGGGTTTTTGTGGAAGCAAATGCAAATGGTCAAGGAAGCGTTTAATAGCATTTAAATGGTCAGTTTCAATGTTTATAGAGCTCAACCACTGAAAACATTCTGCTCCTGGGGTTCTTTAACTACTTTAAAATTTTCTAGGTAGTCTACTTTCTTCCCCCAATTTGCCATAGTCTAATTACTCATTCATTCAACATATGCTTAGTGAGCACATATTCTATGCCATGCATTCAAATAAGAGAAGAAATTTTCTCACATAGTCGTGACCTGATTTCACTCTCAGGTCAATCACTACACTAGTGTCCTTTTGACTGTGGGATATAAAATCCTCTGAGAGTTCTGTCATTCACTAGTTCTAGGGCATTAGGTAAAACCTACCCTCTTTATCTTTAATGCTTTTTTTTTCCATAAAATGATGATAATAATACAGGCAAATCTTGGAGGTATTATGGATTTGGTTCCAGAGCATCTCAGTAAAATGAATACAGCAATCAAGTGAGTCACACAGATTTTTTTGGTGTCCCAGTGCCTATAAAAATTATGTTTACACTATACTATAGTGCACTAAGTGTGCAATAATAGCATTATGGCTTCAAAAACAATGTACGTGCATTGAGCATAATACATACAATATTAATTTGAAAAATATCTTATTGCTAAAAATGCTAAACATCATTTGACAATGTAGGGTTGCCATAAAACTTCCATTTGTAAAAATTGTATTTTCTGTAAAGTGCAATAAAGCAAAGCACAGTAAAAATAAAATGAAGTATGCCTGTATGCTATCCACTTAAAAGGTTGTTGCAAATGAAACCTTTAGAATATCTTGGTTAAATATTAAGTTTTAACAAAATGACAGAGGAATCGGGTTTTTCAGGGATGTAAAATACATAAGTTCTAATCATATCCTTAGGAATCAATCTGATTTTATAGTTCACAATGCATGTATGTGGAACCTAACACTACTTTTGATAAATTATCTCATTTACATTTCTGAAGGAAGTGAATAAAGGGAAATAATAGAAGTTTTATCTTGACTTTCCTCTCTGAAATAAGTGAAAGCTATTATGAGAAATAGTTCTTACTGTCTGGTTAAATCTTCCACAAAGAGAACAGAAGCAAAGAGTCCATGGAGAGAAACACTTTTTGTTTTACTCTATTACAGAAATCAACTGGATTGCCATTTTAGAGGCCTTTAAGCCTTACGTTATTTATGTAAGAAATCGGACATCCTTAATTGCTTAGTATTCCTCCAATTTGGAATGAGAAGTTTAAATTCATTCTTTCCCATAATCCTTGCAGTGCATTGGTACTGAAGAGGTTATTTTGCCTGGATTAGCAAGGAAACAGGCCTCACACAGTATACTGAATCGCCCTCGATCACACAGCTAGTAAGTGGCCTGAGCCTGGGTCCCCATCCTGAGATGATTCTACTTTCCCATGCTCGTCTTGGTGAGGAGGTCTCATTTAAAGTGAAAAAAGGAAGGAAGTTTTTAAAAATTGGATTATTAATACTCAGTCATTGTTTCCAGTGCCTCCAAAGATACAGCGTGGCCCTAAAGTTATGAAAGTCCAAGTCGGTCAAAGAGTGGACATTCCATGTGGTGCTCAAGGGACACCTCTTCCTGTTATCACCTGGTCTAAAGGTGGAAGCGCTGTGCTGGTTGATGGCCTGCAGCATATTGCTCTTCCAGATGGGACATTAAGCATCAAACAAGCGGTGCTCTCAGATGCTGGCGTATATACATGTGTCGCTACTAACATAGCAGGCAGTGATGAAACAGAGATAACACTACATGTTCAAGGTGATTTGGGTCCTAGGAAAATCTATGTATGGTGGGGTGGGGAGTGGGGGAAAAACCCTGGAGTCTACGCAGAAGATATAGTCTTGCTTGGTCTTGGTTCACTTTCAGAAGACTTCTTTATAGCTTTTGACTCTCCAGTTATCTTTGAAAGGAAAATGATTCCAGAAATGAAATGAAACTATATGTTAGTAAATTGTTTACCTTTGAAAATGGAGTTGCCGTGGATGATGCAGATAGTGGAAACAATCCTAGATAAGTACCCCACACACTGTTTTCGGTTTGGAAGAAATTGTGGGCACAGTTGATTGGAGTAGGATTTAGCTTATAGTAGTAAGGTGCACTCAGGATTAGTCCCTAGAAAGTCGAGGTCCACTGTTCCCTCTAATGATGGCCTTATATTGAGGGTTTAAAGATTAATCTTTGGGGAATTCCCTACTGCTCCAGTGATTGGGCTCCACGTTTCCACTGTAGGGGCATGAGTTCGCTCCCTAGTTGGGAAACTAAGATCCCACATGCCACACGGTGCACCCCTCCCCCACCAAATTGATTAATCTTTATTCCTTTAAGCAACAAGTGTTTATCAAGTTCCTGCCAGGTTACTGTTGTGATCTGGGCAGTAAGGAGAAGATTCTGACAGAGGAAAAACACCTGCTCTCAGGACTGGTTCTATAAGTAGGCAGAAAGCAAGCAGGCAAATAAATAAGAAATAACAGATTGTGAGACGTGTTTTGTAGAAATTTAAAATAGGGTGATGCTCCCAGCAGTTCGCTACTGTAGATTGAATTTTCATGAGGACTTCTCTGAGGTGGTGATAAGTGTAGTGAAATCTTGTTGACTAGGAGGAGTCGGGCATGTCCAATCCGGAGGAAAGGCATTCCTGTCAGGGAGACTACCAGTGCAAAGGCAGGAAAAGAGAAGCAGGTGTCATACGTAGCCTCAGAAGAATTCAGTATTGCCCAAGGAAAGCCTGTGATAATGCATTTATTTTTCTAATAGAACCACCTATTCTGGAAGACCTAGAGCCTCCATATAACACTCCATTCCAAGAAAGAGTGGCCAACCAACGCATTGCATTTCCTTGTCCTGCAAAAGGTGTGTACTACTCGGTCACGTGGGCATTGGCATAATATTGTATTCTAGAATTCTGTATTGAACCCCAGGCATCATTAAATTCTGTTTGTCAGTCCTTGTTATAACATATGTGCAAAATGGAAATTAACACTTCTTTCAAATAAAAACTCTTTAAATTAGGTATTCTTCCCTCCAGGTGTTTTATTTCCTTCACTGGAAATACCTTCTGTTCTTTCAGACTTGCCTAATCTGGTATGTTTTCCAGTTCGTTCACGTTCGTTCCTGTTGCTTAGTTCATTTTATTTATGACAAAATTTCTGTTTATAATGTGACAGGGCTATTCAAAATATTGCATATTTATCTCAGGGGTATAAATTAGGACCATCCCCTTGTTACTCTTCTTTTCTAAAAACTCCTTTCTAGATTTATCCTCTACTGGTAATTCTGGAGCCAGGTAGTAACTTGGTTCTCTGATGCTTGTCCAAACTCCTCCTTTCCCTGAATTTCTGAGCTTTCTATCCCATCATGTTTCCTGGCAGGAGATGGTTATTCTTCCTCCTCCAAAGCCTATAAAAAAGGTCACTGTCGCCTTACCCTGGATGCCCAATAGGTGGCCCAAAATATTCTCTCTTTCACATAATGTTCGTATGCAGTGACTCAAATGAGCCTGTACTAATTCTGGCAAAAACCAGGCAGTATCCTTTCCATCATCTGCTGGAGGAATCCATGCTCCCACACGAGCCTCTTAGTCGTTGTTCCTGGAGACAGTGGAAGTTGAAGGACCTTACAGCTCTCTCTGTTTATATAGCATGTTTTTGCACCTCTTAACAAGATCTCTCATCAATGATTATTTTCTACCAGCATTCAAAAAAAGATAATTCTAATAAGCTCTTCAGATATGTAAAGAGTTGTCAGTAACTATTCCAAGGGTCAATGATGGCTTCCCTGGTGGCTCCCAGGGGTAAAGGTTCTGCCTGCAATGCAGGAGACATGGATTCAATCCCTGGGTTGGGAAGATCCCCTGGAGAAGGAAATGGCAATGCTCTCCAGTATTCTTGCCTGGAGAATCCCCATGGACAGAGAGCCTGCCAGACTATAGACCATGGGGTCTCAAGAGTCGGACACAACTTAGCAACTAAACCACCACCACCATTCCTAGGGTTAGTGGGGTGGTAGGTAAGACCTGGAGAAGAATCCTTGAGAAAGGTAGGTTCAAATAAGTTCTGTGGGTGCTCACTACCAAGGGAGCCCTGCCAGTGGTACTACTGCTTAGTACTCTCTGCTGAATCCCTGGCTTACAAGCTGACTTGAATGTCCCTTTTCCATTTTGATATACTACCTCTTCCTAGTTTCCTATTTCACCTGTGATAGAACTCTTGTGTTAATTTAAAATTGTTGTGTTCAGTTGCTCAGTCATGTCCGACTCTTTGTGACCCCATGGACTGCAGCATGCCCAGGCTTCCCTGTCCTTCAGCATTTCCTGGAGCTTGCTCAAACTCATGTCCATTGAGTCGGTGATGCCATCCAACCATCTCATCCTCTGTCATCCCCTTATAGCTTAGTGCTTTTTCATCATCTTTGCCATGAATTTAATCTTAACCATGGTTGTTTTACCATTGAGAAAGTAAAGATAATACAAGTTGTTTCTTATGCTTGTTTAATTTGGTTTTTCATTTGTTAGCTTAACAAATATTAGTTGAGAAGTTTGAGAAGTCCATAAAGGAATAAGTAGGATGTAAGGAAATGATTATAACCCCCAAAAGGGGGATATAAAAATCCTTGGCAACATGTGCAATTGTAGTCCATCAGTTTTATACTTTCTTCTTTACCAGTCAGCATCTTACAGTGAGGTCAGTGAAATATGCCACTATTTTTGTTTTATTTTTTTCCCATAAATATAGTTGTTTTTATAATTCAGTCATTAATAATCAGTCATTTTTATAATAGTGTGACTCAGTTTGAGTTTAATCTTAATGATACATCCTGTGTATTCCTGCCATTTGTGTACTTATCTTTGATATATGACCATTCTCTGTTCTTCGATGTTTTTATTATGCTTTAAGGTTATTAGCCATGTCTCATACCATATATTGATTTTACTTAATGTGCTTTATTTCTTGTATAAGTTAAGTAAAATGTGAAAGGACTTAGAATAGTGCCTGCCACCTTCTTTGCTGTATAAATAGATTCACATTATAGAGTTAGTGTTCGTCTGTTTTCATTGTGTCCTTTTGGCTCCATGATGCATGTTAACATGGTTTTTATCACTTTTATTCATATAACTTCCATTCACTCTGTTGGCCATAAATAAATCCAGGAAAGCCTTTCTGCTCACTGCTTTCTCAACTTTATTTTCAGTATAAAAACTCAAGAATCAATCTGCCCTCTCTTGAACAGAATGGGATCCTCAGAAAATGTGTGAAGAGTAAATGTTCCTCATCTCTGCTCTATCAGGACTGTTTAAAATGTGAATGCTGAAGCGTCATTTCTGTACATCATTCGCTTCCTCTTTGTGTTTGCATAATCTTCACGTTCTGTTCCTCTGAGAGTATCTTATTTTTGCTCTTCCTGTACTATCAGCCCAAAGCTCTGCCTATTTCTAGTCTATTTAACTAAAATAGCTTTTTCCCTCATTAATACCATGGTTTCACTCAAGAAAGTGTTTTGCCTACTATCATCTGAATGTCTTGTGAAAAACGACTTTGATCAAATTCTATACTGGAGACCTTAGATCTTTTAAAACCAATCAGGAAATAGAGAAATGACATACCATAGTCTCTTCAAAATTCCATATATTGAAAGTACATATGGGTACATAGTATAATCATGAGATATCTTATTTCTCCTCAAGATAGTTGATTTTAATAGTGATTTCTAATTTTGTTGTAAAATATCACAAAGCTTTAATCTCTTTCTTAGGTACCCCCAAACCAACCATCAAATGGTTGCGGAATGGTAGAGAGCTGACAGGCCGAGAGCCTGGTATTTCTATATTAGAAGATGGCACGTTGTTGGTTATTGCTTCTGTTACACCATATGACAATGGGGAGTATATTTGTGTGGCAGTCAATGAGGCTGGAACCACAGAAAGAAGATATAACCTCAAGGTCCATGGTAAATACAGATAAAATCATATAACTGAATATGTAACATGGTCAAATTCCTTTATATGTTTTTCTTTCAGTGTAGTATCATTTAATATTTACATAAAAATACATGTTATCAATTTTAAAAGTAGTAGTCTAACTTCATTTATTCATTTGACTTAAAATTTCATTTAATTTTTTATTGTGATTTTGCATCATTGAAAACTCAAATGGTAGAAAAAGATGCAAAGTCAAAAGTCTCCTGGCCCTGAGCTAAGCAATCTACTTTATCCTCCCTATGGGCAAGGAAAGTTGTTAGTGGGGTATGTGTGTGTGTGTATCTTCCCAGAGATAATTTCTGCAAAAATGTAGAAATATGAATATATATTTCATCCTCTTTTTTTACATATAAAAAGAATTTATAGTAGACCATTTTATCCATTACTCCATACCTTGTATCGTTGAATACTCTTAGAAATTATTCAATATTCCTAACTCTTATTTATGCCTAACTAGGATCATACTGTACCGTGACTTAGCTTTCTATGATATTAATGATGAACATTTAGTTAGGTACCACTTGTGTGCTATTTTAAGTAATGCTTCAGTGAAAATTGTGTACATATGGCACTTTGCATGAGTATATGCACTTAAAAATTTAATGGATATTGGCTTCCATAAATACTGGGCAATATTCATTCTTATCAGCAAAGTAGTCCCACATAACTTGAGACGAGCAGTTTGCATTTTGAGTGGTATGTGAAATAAATAGTTTCTCCCTTAAATTTATCCTTAATACATAACTGAATTATTTTTTCATTTTTAATTTTTCATTTTCAGTTTTAATTCATAACTGAATAATTAAAGTAAAAATTTAGTGAGTTACTTATAAATATTTTGTGAAGACTCTTCATTTCATAATAAAAGCTTTGCTTAAGTATGACCAACCTTTTCTAGCTACCAAATACCTGATTTGCTTTCCACAGTCCTTTGTAAAGAAACTATATGTAATATTTATTTTAAACTAACTACATGTCTCATGCATCCAACCTGGACTGGCGATCTGTTTCACACTTGATAATATACATGTTTCGATGCTGTTCTCTCAGGTCATCCCATCCTCGCCTTCTCCCATAGAGTCCAAAAGTCTGTTATATATATCTGTGTGCTGGTGCACTGGGATGACCCAGAGGGATGGGATGGGGAAGGAGGTGGGAGGAGGGTTCAGGATGGGGAACACATGTAAATCCATGGCTGATTCATGTCAATGTATGCCAAAAACCACTACAATATTGTAATTAGCCTCCAACTAATAAAAATAAATGGAAAAAAAAACAAAACAACTCACTACAATTCCTTACTTTTTGCAGTTCCTCCAGTAATTAAAGATAGAGAACAAGTAACAAATGTGTCCGTGTTGGTCAACCAGCCAACCAGTCTCTTTTGTGAAGTTGAAGGTGCTCCATCTCCCATCATTATGTGGTATAAAGATGATGTTCAGGTAAATGGAGACATCCAAATATGCATACATCTTTGCCTCTGTCTCTGAAATTAATCATTCAGATGTGACTGTCTTATTAATAGCAATATAAAAATTTTGCTTCAAATTTTAATTAGACATTTTTATTAGGATTGGAAATAACATTGACCTTTTTGGCCTTAAAAGGTGACTGAGAGCAGCAGTATTCAGATTGTAAACAATGGGAAGATATTAAAGCTCTTCAGAGCCTCTCCAGAGGATGCAGGAAGATATTCCTGTAAAGCAATTAATGTTGCAGGCACTTCTCAAAAGCATTTTAACATTGATGTGCTAGGTAAGGAAAATATTCTCAAAAACTACAATTCAGATGTGTTTTATATAGCATAACACTGACTGTATTAAAGAACTAAAGAGATGAAAATTTGATAGAAATAGCATTCATTTTACTATGTCTTTAATATTGGTTAATCAGAACTATATGATATAGAAAGTTTGTAGATATTTGTTATTTATCATATAGTGATGTTTTGGGCACATGGTACTATCTTATACATAAAATACTAAATTACTGCTCTTGTCAGTTTGTCTATTGAGGTGGTCAGGAAATTCTTTGGGAGGTAACTATAGAGGATAAGAAAGAAAGTGAAGTCGCTCAGTCATGTCCGACTCTGCAACCCCATGGATTGTTTCTCCGTCCATGGGATTTTCCAGGCAAGAGTACTGGAGTGGATTGCCATTTCCTTCTCCAGGGGACCTTCCTGACCCAGGCATTGAACCCAGGTCTCCTGCGTTGTAGGCAGACGCTTTTACCGTCTGAGCCACCGGGAAAGTCACAATGCAGAGTAAAATTCAGTCATTTGCTGACCTCTCCTGAAGCTCCTCAGTTGTACATGAAGTGATGATAAATGTAACAAATTCACCCTCCTCTGAATTCTGAATAATTTCTGTAACTAAATTACCTCAGCCCTAGTTCTAATTAAGTGGGGAGAATTCTGAGAACAGGCTGAAACTGTAATAAATTGGTGTTTAAAATATTTAAAATGTTTGAATCCTAATCATAAATGAGAATTTTCATAAGTTTGGCTTGTGAAATTATTTTTGCTGATTAAAGTTCACTTTGTGATAAATTGACTTCCTTCCTTTTCAATAGTTTGGTCATCAAAGGACGTATGATTTGTAAGTCTGGAGTGGAAATGACATCTGGGAACGATCCTGTGTTAAAGTGATCATTCATAAACTGCTATAACATAAAAATTCTGTCTCATAAAGTGTTGTCAAAGCCTGAAGTACTTTGCATCCTCTACCAAAATTACCATTATTATCTATAAGTATCGGCTATAAAAAGAAAGTAATCTTTCTGTCATCAGTCTCATTGGCATTATTTCTCTTGGTACTCATTACTCTCATGACCTTTACTGCTGTCTGTGTGCTGATGACTTCCACATTTTTATCTCCAACTCAGACTTCTCTGAGCTCTCAGGCTGTATGTCTAATCTCCTCTCCAGTATCTTGGGTTTTTTTTAGCTCATTATCTTTGGCTCAATAACCTAGTTACATGGAGAACAGAAAGGTCTCAGTAAATGTCTGTTCTGGTCACCTTCAGTGACCCACATTGTAGTGACCATCACCTCCATACTACCAGTTCCTTCTGCTACACTGATTCTGGCAGATTCTTCCTAACTCCCTCTTCCCAACTCTGTGAATTTGTCTACATCCTGTTAAGTGTGCTTCTTAATCCCATGCTAATTATAAACTGAATTAACATAATGGCCTCCTAACAAGTCCACTTCATCCACTCTTTGCTACTGGAATCTGATCTTCATTTGGAAGCCAGCATGGTCTTAAAACAAATTTGATCACCACCCGCCCCTCCTGGCATATGATACTTTTCAGTGGCTGATCATTCCCTGGTGCCTCAGATGGTAAAACAATCCTCCTGCAGTGTGGGAGACCTGGGTTTAATCCTTGGGTTGGGGAGAACCCCTGGAGGAGGACATGGTTACCTACTCCAGTATTCTTGCCTGGAGAATCCCCATGGACAGAGGAGCCTGGCGAGCTACAGTTCCTCGGGTCCCAAAGAATTGGACATGACTGAGTGGCTAAGCACAGTACAACATGTGGCTCTGAAGATGCAGGTTAATCACTGTAACATGATGTGAAGGGAGAGGATTTGAAGATCAGGGAAGTTTATGGGAGCTCTTTAATATGCTTGGTAATTCTAAGAATAAAAACTAGCACCTTTTCCCATGAGATATAATGTGAATCTTTTCACATTTTATCTGACATGTAATTTTAGCATAGAAGGCCTTTAAAAGAGACAAGGGTGGTATATTTCAAACAGCACTATAGTATAATATGTAGAATTTGAACATTATCAGATTGTTGTTGACTATGCCATTCATTATTTAAAATGTATAGCCTTAGTAAATTTCATTATATGAGCTTCACTGCTCATTTATATTCTAAACTCCTTTTGTGCATTGATTTAATGTTACTCGAAATGAATTCTTTATTACCACAATTCTTCTAAGTAATTGTTCTGCTGTCAGATCTTTCATGAATGTGTTCCTATATTTAAGTTTGATATTTGGGTCTACAGATGTGATATGAAAAGGGATTATTGCATGATATTTTATTTTTGACATTAAGAACTTGTTGAAATATTATAGAAATCATTATCTTCTCTCCCTCCTCTACTCTTCTTGCTAAGTCATAGATTTTCATGATAAAATATCTTTGTTTAAGTCCCACCCACCATAATAGGTACTGGCTCCCCTGGTGAAGTCTCAGTTGTCCTGAACCAGGATACCACCCTTGAATGCCAGGTGAAAGGCACCCCCTTCCCCGTTATTCACTGGTTCAAAGATGGCAAGTGAGTACTTTTTCTGTATTTGTTGCAAGTCAAACTGTTTGTAAATAGATGTGGATTTTCTCCCTCTTAATTATCTTACCACCTAGAGTGTTATTAAGTGAACATGAAGGAAAAGCAATATTCAAAAATGGTCTCAAATTTATGAATTATAAGATGCTTTAAAAATGCTAGGAATTTATTTGAGAGACATGGAGAAATTCAATTTGTTATACACTGAATATATGCACAGGCTTTCCTGGTAGCCCAGCTGGTAAAGAATCCACCTGCAATGCAGGTTTGATTCCTGGGTCGGGAAGATCCCCGTGAGGAGGGCATGGTAACCCACTCCAGTATTCTTGCCTGGAGAATCCCAATGGACAGAGGAGCCTGTCAGGCTACAGTCCATAGGGTCACAAAGAGTTGAACACAACTGAAGTGACTAAGCACAAATATACGCTAAGAGCAACAAATGAAGAAATGCAAGATCCAAATAAAGAACTCATCTTGTGTTTACATGGAATTTTGTGAATTATTAAAAAATGAAATTAGCTTATGACATCAAGATAAATACTTAAGGTAGTTTAATATATGGGCAAAAAGAACACCCCCTAAAGAGCAATTAAATGTTTCCCAGACTTCAAGGGCTGCTGAGGTTGCCCACATTGATAATAGGTGCAATGATTTGTATTGCTCATGAGAGCTTATTTATTACAGTTTTTGTATTTTTATAATTTCTAAAGTAGGTATCTAAGACTTAAGTAGCAAAAAGTAAAGGTTTACAATGTATGAACCAAAGGGTTGTATAAAAAGTTTTTATATGTCAAGAAAGACAACATAGGAAAATGTATGGAGGGTATAAACAGGCAATTAGAAAGTTATATAGTTAAGCAATAAATGTTTTAAAAGATGCTCACCTTCAATAATTTGGAGAAAGTAAGCAAAAATAACATGACTATTTTTCATAGATCAGTTTGGCAAAAAAAATAGTAGGAGTTTGAAAAATATCAGTTGTTGTCTTAAAGTGCAGTAGATTAGGATATAATACTCTGATGAAACAAGGTGTCAATAAATTAGTACTCTGAAAGCCAATTTGTTGATATATATTAAATTTTAAATGCTCATATGCCCTAATACAACAGTTATACTTCCAGTGTCTAGGAAAGGGAAGTCAATTGTCTGTTCCACAGGAAGGCTTGTATGTTAATTCTCTCTGAAACAGTGATGGCAGAAAAGTGAAAACTACTTAAAGCTTCACCTTGGGAGAATGGATAGGTGACATACAGTGTTGTCATATTGTGAAACACTGAACAGCAATTAAAAAGAAAATCAAGTTATAGGTACCAAAATTATCTCCATAGCTATTGTCAAGTTAAAAGAAAAATAGAACAATAATACAATGCCATTTATGTATAACAACTTGAGATTCCTCTAGCAATACGCTTATGAGTGAAAATGTTTAGAAAAATGTGTGAAAGAACACAAACTGACAATAGTAACAGGAAAGACTCATGTTGTGACAATAAACCAAGAAGACCTTTTCTCGTTATAATGCTTTTTTTTTTCAATTTTTATGTTACATGCATAGTGAGCAATCAGTGAAAGTTTTAAAGTTGCTTAAATTTGAGTAGCATTATCAAGTATTCCCACTTCTATAAACAGAATACATTAAAGTAAGGTACTTTATTCTGTCAGTTTTAGGGAACTTCAAACAAAGTGTCATACCAAGGAATAGTAAGGGATGCTCCCACAGAAAATTAAATGTGTTTTCTTTAATCTTCTAGTCTTAGTAGTGACTTTTAATATAGCACTGCATTAATTTATCATGTGGCAAATTCCCTGCAGCTTTTTAAAAACAAGATATAGGTCTTCCTGAAAGAATATCAATGGGATTTTAAAGGTATGACTCTTAAGATATCATAGGCTTTAATAACCATGATGTTTTAAGTATTAAATAAAGCTGCTACCAAAAGTAAAGCAGTCAGATAATAGTAGTTGGTAAGTGACTGAATAGTAGAAAAAGACTCCTTGACAAATATATGTGAACTACTTTTGGGATAAATATCTTTCAGTATTAATGATTATGAAAGCACTCATATTTATTATAATACCTACTTATTAGGAAAGTTGACATCATTGTCTTTAGTTAGTAATAACTATATATTGTGAATATTTTTCCAGGTATTATAATATTAGTTTACAAATAATGTTGCTTGACTTGAAGCTCCTGTACACTTAGTTTTTCTTTTCTGAATGATGGTAGAAAATTTATCTATGTAAATTTTAAAAAAAGGGGGTGGTGACTGAATGAAATAAAATGTTTTATTATGATTGTTCAACAATTTAAAAGGAAGAATCTTTCATCTAAAAGTGATAATTAACTTTAATTAATAAAGTAATTTAATAATTCCATTCTTCTGAACAGGAGTACTTAATCATATCATTGCATTTTTTAGATTCCTACTAAAAAATACAACTTAATGATTTCTGTTGTGATTAATAAAACAGAAAATGTTTAGGAAAGTGAAAATGGATCCATAGAATAAAATTGTATTTTTTCTAGGCCTTTATTTTTGGGAGACTCTAATATTGAAATTCTAGAGAGAGGACAAGTTTTACATTTAAAGAATGCACGAAGAAGTGACAAGGGGCGCTACCAGTGTACTGTGTCTAATGCAGCTGGCAAACAATCCAAGGATATAAAACTGACAATCTATAGTAAGTGTGGCTTTCTTTTACTGTTATTATCAATTCTCATCATACATTGAAAATCAGGGTTGACTCTGTTAACTGCTCTTTTATGCAATGCAAAATAATTTTAAATGGTACTTTAAGGGAAAAGCCTATCTTCTTCTGTTTTAAGCTAGAACATTGCATCCGATTTTACTGCATTTTATCATTGAGTATGTATTTCTCCAGGGTCTAGTGATTTTCATATGATCTCACTTAAGAGGTCAGGTATTCCCTTATTTGTTAGTGTAACATAAATTAAATGTCTGTATACCTAGAGGGGTTTTTAAAGAGCTCTAAAAAGAGTAGAGATGCATGAAATAAAATGAAGTTGATAGTATGCAAGTCAGTTACTCTATTTTCATTCCATCTTGGCCTTTCTTCGGACCACATGATAATAACTTAAATATTTTAAGCAGTACTGTTATTTTCTTTTAGTTAAGTCCCCATCAGAGGTATGTAGCCCTTACTTCACTAAAACTTTCAATATCCTCTGAGGAAGATGACTGCTAAAGTCATGTCATTTTTATGCCAGGAGCCGTGGAAGGTATTTGGATATGCTGTTGCAGGCACAAAGAATTACACCATAGAAAGGAGTAGAACTCATTAGGTCAGTCATGCTTATTGTGGGTCTGCTTCCTGCACTCTTTTTTTCTGTAGCATATGATGCTCAGAATAAGTTCAGATACCTCAGGAAGGTCACTTCTACAGGATCTTCCCAATGCAGAGGAGTCACCTAATGACTCTCCATTACATTGTCCTAGTTTTCCTTATAGCATGGATCACTGTCTGATAGTTTTAATTGCTTAATTATGGATATATTTACTTATTTGCTGTTTCTTTCCAAGGAAAGTAAACTTCATAAGAGGAGGACCTCGCTTTGCATGTCTGATAGCATGCACACAGGCATACAGTAGCTCTCAAGAAATATTTGCTCAGTGAATAAATTGTCTAGTGACAAACTTTTCAGTATGGTAACCATCAGCTATAGTTGACTGCTGAGCACTGGAAATGTGGCTAGTTCAAACTGAGACAAGCTGTAAGTGTAAAATGTTGTTGTGGAGTCGCAAAGTTGTGTTTGACTCTTTTGCGACCCCATGGACTATAGCCTGCCAGGCTCCTCTGCCCACGGGATTTCCCAGGCAGGAATACTGGAGTGGGTTGCCATTCCCTTCTCCAGGGGATCTTCCTGACACAGAAATCAAACCCATGTTTCCTCCTTTGCAGGCAGATTCTTTACTACTAAGCTACCAGGAAAGATCTCAAAGACAAACTTAATATGAAAATATAATGGAAGATGCTTAAGTAATAATTTTACCTTGATTACATCTGAAATGATGATATTTTAGATATATTGAACTAAGTAAAATGATTTATTTTCATAGTTTTCAATGTGACTATTGGAAAATTTTAAATTATATATATGATCATTATATTTTTGTTGGACAGTGATTGTTTGGTTGTCAATAAGAACTTGGGCTTCTGAGGTAAGCCAGCTTGTGTTCAGATCCAACTTATGCCACTTACTAGCTTTGCAACTTTGAACAAATTGCCTAACCCCTCTGAGCTTCAGTTCCTCATCTCTAAAATGGGGATAATAATAGCACCTACTTAATAATGAAATTGTAAGGATCAGTTGCTGGATACTTTACATGTATTACCTGGCTTACAGTGAAACTTCAATAAATATTTATGGTGGTTATTTAGTTACTAAGTTGTGTCTGACTTTTATAATTATCTACTTGCTATTCTATTGTCTTGCCGCTTAAAGTCTATATATAGAATATAGCTTGGTTTCTATATATCTTCACTGAATTGCAGATCTTCCTCTTTTTAAAATGTTAGTTGTCTTTATATAATGTTTGAATAGCTTTCTTGAATCAAAGAAATTTTACTTAATACAGGCTTTTAAATCATTTCTGTCTATAAATAGAAGCGTGTGGAAGAAATTAGTCTTGAATAGACATGTCCTCCAAAACACAGTAATGTTACTGAAAGATTAGCTATACAGGCATCCAAGTTAAGCGAAAGTACTATTGCTCCCATTGGCCTCCTACCAGAATCAGGCTTTTAAACAATAGGCGCAATATTTCCCTTAAGCTGTTGAGTAGTCTTCTCTGCATTGTTGTATTGTTGCCAAAGTCTGTGATGAATACTTGTGGCGATTCAATGAGCCTCCTACTTCCATAGGACTTGGCTTCTTTCATTTCAGATCCCCTTGTTCATTCAGTATCATGCCCTCAGGCACACAGAAGAGGCCTCTAATGAATGATTAAACCTTCTAAGATTGTCAGAGATGAAAGGCGTTCTAGCACTGAAATTTTAAATATTATAATTAGGAAATAATACCATTTCTTCTCTGGCAAGCTCGTCTACACCTCTGAGTGTATAATCTTAAGCTTATTTTATTTCACTTGTGAAAATGCTTTTATTTATAAGAATAAATGAAACATAGACCATACTTGGATGAACTGTGAGGAATACTAACATAGGTCTCAGGTTGAGAATGTGTCTCTCACTGCAGCTGATTGATTCATCTTCTTTATGTGAGGATAAAGCAGCTGGATCTGATGCACCTGAAAGGCAGAAATGCACATTTTGCCTGAATAAGGAAAGAAATGGAGAGAAAATATGAGTGAAAAATAAAAGATATGGAGGGAAAATGAGGGGAAATGAATATGAAAAGGAAAAGGAAATAAATGAGCATTTAATAACCTATGGGGAGATTGTGCAAATTCATAGCTAGTACTTTGAGGTAAAGATTTTTAACTTAGTCATGGATAAGTTTCAGATCTGAGAATTTTCACAAATGGTATAAAAGTTTTTGAGTATATATATATATATATATATATATATATATGGTACATTTTAATGTACAATGGATTCATAGCATTTACCTGTAACACCTTTCCTCAAACAGAAGTATAGGACTCAGAAAAGTATATGTGAAATAAATTGAAGCAGGAAGAAATATTTATCTGGGAAATTTAAACAGTAGATGGTATATTGTTCTGCTGTCAGCTAGAAATGTTTTTTGAGTAATTTTTCTCCATTCATAAATACAAACTAGTGATATTCCTTTGTAAAACATTCATGGAGGGTAAGGGGTTGTTAGAACCTTTGTTCTTGAGTTCATTAATTTATCATCCAACTAATTAGGCTAGCTAGTTTATTTAGACAATTTGAGCCGTAGAGTTGATATACATTTCCAGATTAATGTCAATAGGCTGAAATCAAAAAGAAATTTAAGTCTGAGTAAATGTTCTTTCTTAAGATTTAAAAATGGTGGCTTGAATTTATATTAACTATTTATAACAGAACTTGACAAACCTTTTTTATAAAGGGAAAGATGGTAAATAGGTAGATTTACTCATTGATAATTAGATTCAAAGAATTAAATCTGATAGAATGCCTGAAGAACTATGGACAGAGTTTCATAACACTGTACAAGAGGCAGTGACCAAAACCATCCCAAAGAAAAGGAAACGTAAGAAGGCAAAGTGGTTGTCTGAGGAGGCTTTACAAATAGCTGAGGAAATAAGAGAAGCTAAAAAGCAAGGGAGAAAGGAAAAGATATATGCAACTCAATGAATGCAGAGTTCCAAAGAATTTCAAGGAAAGATCAGAAGGCCTTCTTCAATAAACAGTGCAAAGGAATAGAGGAAAACAACAGAGCAGCAAAGACTAGAGATCTCTTCAAGAAGATTTCATGTAAGAATGTGCACAGTAAATGATAGAAGCAGTAGGGACCTAACAGAGGCAGAGGAGATTAAGAAGAGCTGGCAAGAAGGCACAGAAGAGCTATACAAAAAAAGGTCTTAATGACTGGGATAACCATGATGCTGTGGTCACTCACCTAGAGGCAGACATCCTGGAGTGTGAAGTCAAGTGGGCCTTAGGAAACATCACTATGAACAAAGCTAGTGGGGGGTGATGGAATTCCAGCTGAGCTGTTTCAAATCCTAAAATAAGATGCTGTTAAACTTCTGCATTCCATATGTCAGCAAAATTGGAAAACTCAGCAGTGGCCACAGGACTGGAAAAGGTCAGGTTTCATCCCAATAGTAAAGAAGAGCCGTGCTAAAGAATGTTCATACTACCATACAATTGCATTCATTTTCCATGCTAGTAGGATTATGCTCAAAATCCTTCAAGCTGGGCCTAAGCATTACTTGAATTGAGAACGTCCAGATGTACAAGCTGGGTTTAGAAAAGGCAGAGAAACTTGAGATCAAATTGCCAACATTCGTTGGATCATAGAGAAAGCAAGGGAATTCCAGAGAAATATCTACATCTGCTTCATTAACTACGCCAAAGCCTTTGACTCTGTGGATCACAGCAAACTGGAAAATTCTTAGAGATGGGAATGCCAGACCACCTTACCTACCTCATGAGAAATCTATATGCATGTCAAGAAGCAACAGTTAGAACCTTATGTGGAACAACTAACTGGTTCAAAATTGGGAAAGGAGTATGTCTAGGCTGTAAATTGTCACCCTGTTTATTTAACTTATATGCAAAGTACAACATGCAAAATGCCAAGCCGAATGAGTTACAAGCAAAGACATTACTTTGTCAACAGTGGTCCATATAGTCAAAGCTATAGTCTTTCCAGTAGTCATGTATGATTGTGAGAGTTGGACCATAAAGAAGGCTGAGCACTGAAGAATTGATGCTTTCAAATTGTGGTGCTAGAAAGACTCTTAAGAGTTCCTTGGACTGCAGGGAGTTTCAACCAGTCAATCCTAAAGGAAATCGATCAACTCTGGATACTCATTGGAAAGACTGAGCTCCAATACTTTGGCCTCCTGATAAGAACAGCTGACTCATTGGAAAAGACCCTGATGCTGGGAAAGATAGAAGGCAAAAGGAGAAGAGGGCAGCAGAAGATGAGATCTTTAGATAGCATCAGTGACTCAGTGGACATGAACTTGGGCAAACTCCAGGAGATAGTGAGGGACAAGGAAGCCTGGCGTGCTGCAGTCCAT